AATCTGATTAGCTGTCATTCTGACGTCAAATAAAATTAAGCCAATAAAAACGCTTTAATACAGATCCGCCTTTTACTTCCTACATCTTTTATTGTGCATAAGTTACACAAACTTAAGAAAATAACTGTTTATCTATACAGAAACATTCAGAAAGTAGCAAGTGGGACGCATTTTATGACAGGAAGCTCTAATTTCTCACTTTTTCAAGAACTTAGATAGCACTTTTTTTTTTACAAGATTTTTTTTCTTCCTATAATAAACAACGGTGTCTAAATTTAGAAGTAAATAATAAAACCGCAATAATTTATCAGCAACTAGAAAATGTTAAAAAATTTAAAGAACAAAAAAAAAATCTTCCAGGATTTATTTTTGTAAATAAAGTTCATCTCCAAAAGAATTCTGGTAAGTCTTGGAATTTAGGTTAAATTTTTAATTTTCTTAATATTTTTTGCATTTAACTTTTGATGATATAGTATTATTAGACGTCGCAATATTTTTTTAAAAAAGTAGAACATAATGGGATCGCTTTATTACATTGGGAGAAATAGTGCTTGATAACTTTTAGAACTCCTATGAATTTTTCCACAAAATTTTAAAGCAATAGAATGATGTGATTTGTGATTTTGTGAAAGTAATTTAAAACTACACTTTTATCAGTTTAAACTGATGAAAACAGACTTGGGTGACGTTAAAAAATTCTTTTAACACGTTGACTGCCGCACATGTTCACAGTGAATTCTCCTACAGGCCATGAGTACCGCTGTACGAAGCGTATTCTGCTAAGTACTAACACCTATATTTTAATAATGCCAATCTCTGGTGGTCACAAGAATATCTTGCCGCGTTTGTTTCCATGGCATCAAGTCTGTTTATTTGTGTCCTTTTCTTTTCCTCTCGCCACTTTACCCGATCAGTTTGAATCTTTGTCGAGTAAAGAGGAGTATAACTTAAAATCTTTACCCTAATTCAGTGGAATTTCGAAAAGAAAAATGGAAAACTTATTTCTTAGCGAGTCAAATAGCAGTAAACAAGAAAGCCTTTTTTCACAAATATTTTCTTAATAAATCATTTTTGTATTACTTTTATAACAATTCAATATTTTTGTTACTTTCTGGGAAGTATCTTTTCAAATACACACGGTTCTCAGCAGATCACCGAAGTCAAGCATCACTGGCTGCGGTCAGTGTGCGGATGGGTGACCATTTGGATCAGTCTGCGTAGGGACCGAGGGGTGCGGTATTGGTCCTCGTTAAACTGTTCTATGTAAAGTGCTAGACTTCACGTGCAGGTCGTCGGGCTACCGAAGCGGGGGTGCCATCCCCTCTCCGGAGAATCAAAATTGTGATGGCATGTCTTCGGATCATCCTCAGGGATGTTTCCCAGACCGTCGCCAATAGCCCATTGTGCAGTTCTAGTGTGACGTAAATGAACAAATCAAATCAAATCAAATCCATACGAATGTCCCTCGCAAGTAGTTAAATAAGCGTCGCGCGGCCCGATCAGAAACTTTACTGTCACCCGAATATGAGTGCCCGTCTAGCCAAAATGATTTTTTCAGTATGTATTGCATTAATTTCTTCAAACCATTTTGGTAACGATAATAATATTAAAAAAATTAAAAGTATTAAAAATTTACTCGAATTAAGTGTTTTTAATAATCTTAACTTCGACGGTCACCGGTGACCCCCGTGGTGCTACGAACAAATTCAGTGCCGGTCTGCAGTGACCCCCATGGCATTCAACGTGTTAATAACAACAACAAAAAATTATTATGATCAAAAATCTAAAAACAGGCAACTGTATATTATTTAAATATATCTATCAAAAGCAGATGATGGCAGTATTGTATTGGCATAATTTTGTCAGAAAAATTTGAAGAAAATCTAAAATACCGTACGCTTTATATCTCGAATTATGATTAAGTGGCGCCTTTGTATTTTCACACGAATCGCAAGATACTGCTATATAGAGTGTAAATATCCATCATCAGTTTATATGTGAAAATTTAATAAAGAGAATTAAAAGCATATTTAGAATTTTCCCTCACTGTCTTGATCCCTTCGACACTTGAGTTCGGTCTGGAGTAGAAGGTACAGCATTCAATCTATATTTAGCTCCTATATCTAAAAAAATAAGCACTTTGGTCAATTTTAATTAGGGGGGAAATTATATCAGTGAGTTAATAATTAGTGAGCATCTGAAAATAAATTCGTCTGACAATGTATAAAAATGTCTTTAGCACCATTAGTTGCTGTTGTAGTTCATTTACGTCGCACTAGAGCTGCACAATGGTCTATTGGCGACGGTATGGGAAACAACCCTGTGGATGATCCGAAGATATGCCATCACAATTTTGATCCTCTGCAGAGAGAATGGCACCCCCACTTCGGTAGCCCGACGACCTGCACGCGAAGTCGAGCACTTTACGGTAGAACAGTTTAACGATGACCAATACCGCACACCCTCCCTACGCAGACTGATCCAAGTGGTCACCCACCCGCAGACAGTGATGCTTGACTTCGGTGATCTGCTGGGAACAGTGTCTTAACGATCACTTCACTGCAGGACTAGTAATATTAGTAATATATTGGACAAATTTAGTGAAATCTAATTTATATGATGCCATATCTAAAATCTATTGAAGAATCAGAAAAGTAATCAACTTCTTATTAAATGCTATTTCCTCACCTAAATAAATAACGCGTTTTTAATTGAAATGAAATTTCTTAAAAATTCGGTAATAATAATAATAAAGAAAAGACCTTAAAACCACCTTTATAATTATTTTTTTAAGTCTACATTCACTGGAAATATATTTCATAGATAATTTCCTATTTAAAAGTTCAAATAATTTCAACATGATGATTTATATGATCACGTCTATTTTTTCTCATTTCTTACAATTGAAAAGAAAAATATAAGACTTTTAAAAATCAATACCTATTTGAAGTCAGAAAATATTTGACTGGGATACTTGAACTTTCACTAAGAGAAAAAGATTAACAAAAGAAAAAAAATATTTACTTCAAAACTTACCTTTAACTATTAGTATTAATTAGTATTATTTAACTATTAGTAATAAGTTATCATTAGTATAAATTCTTAGGAAATTGCATTTCCTGAAATATTAAACGCATTGCCTTAAACAAAAAAAATGGTTACAATACGGTACTTAAGCAAAGGCTGTGAACTAGATCAACAACTCACCTTTTCTTCTCATATTTTTATTAATATTTACGACAGTTTAGATGCCAAGTTGCAATAGCAACTTTGCAGGCCATTTTCAGCGTGCTACGTTATTGTGAAATTTTTATGTAAACAAATAGTCCTTTCCGTTACTTAATGGTGTATAATGTAAGCAAATTATACTGTTGTCTGGTTATTATGCTATAGCTGGCTATAAATCAGAACTAACACAAGGTGCATAGCCAAATCTTTTAACAAAAAATAAGCACCTTTTAAGTACTCAAAAAATATTTTTAAGCAATGCACCAATAAAATGCAAAATAATTGTCAGACTTGACATGATCATGATAAAATTAACTAGATTCTGACAAAAAACTCTTTTGTAGATTATACTAGCCATTAGAAAAAGATCGAGAGATTTTTCGGTACGATATCAGAGTGTGGAAAATGGAGCTTGGAATTGAGAATATCTTGCAAAATTCAGTAGAGTTGCACATGAGAGTGCAATAATCTCACCAAACCAAGCTCAGTAGATGCACATACGGACTCGCAAATATTTCATCAAACATGTAAAATGATTGGCGCTTTGATACGCTATGAACCGACGGTAGGCCGAAATGAATTGTGAAAACGTTGAATAGAACAATGTGAAAAGCACTCTTTTGCATAATATATGGCGAAAATCAACATGGTAACGTGGAAAAAATCTCATTTTCGAAAGGGAAAAATTAAGCACTTTTTAAAAACACCCCATGAAAAAAGTCCTTTAAGGGCTTTTAAATAACGAAAACCGATAAAAAGCACTTTTTAAAAACGCTACGCACCATGTAACGTCAAAAAGAAAAATTTTAGCTGCTATTAGGGTTAATCTAGAATGCACCAAAATTACTTTATACACATGAGAAAATAAACCTGTAAAATACTGGTTAATGTACTCAAATATTAGACTAGGGTTAGAAACCTATTCAGGGGAAAAACGATTTTCTACATTTTTTTTCTATGGGTATGCAAATTTGGTCGAGTCAATAATGCTGTTGTGGATAAAGTTACTTTTTCTATGGACTAAACAACAGCTGAAATAGAGAAAAATAGTATCCACATAAGTGGCAGGAGGAATTTCAATTCCAATGACCATTCTGGAAAAAATCCTGCACTGTTATTAAAACATTATATTTTTTATAACGATCATTGAACAATCAATACTCTTCAGACTTATGTCTATCAATGCTCAATTTCCTGAACTTTAAAGCTAACACAAAAGAAAAGAGAACTTTTGGATTAATCATTTTATAACTGTCGTTGAACAGCCGACCCAATTTTATGGGTTTACGACTACTAATTTTGAAGACAAGAAAACTCCTGGATCGAGTATTGGGAAAAATTCACCATCGTGGAGGACTTCTTAATGAAGCTAACCCGCATTTGCGTTACATGGAGAGGAAGACCATGAGAACCTCCTATGGTTAGCCTGACGGGAAGGGGACTCTAACCCATGATCGCTCTACCACTGAAGATATTTCACGGCAGCACTGTGGTCGGTGCAAGACGGATGCGGAATTCGTATCGACTGGGATTCGAACCCGGTTCGTCTCATTGGGAGACGAAAGCACTATCCCCTGAGTCATTACGGCTCTGGATTAATCATTGGGATAAATTCCTCTTCATGGAGGATTTTAAATAAGATTTGCTATTCGCACCTCTTTAAGTTCGAGAATCTTACATTCTGAAAAATAACTAGTAATGACAACAGACAAATGTCATGCAATATCTCCCACATTTAAAAAAAAAATGCTTGAAGTATAAGAAATCAACAGTTTACAGTCAAAAACAAATTTAATAATAGAAAAATTCAAACACTAATAACAAACATGTTATTTAGTGTTTGTTTAACATTATTAAGACATCAATACAAAAGTTTACAGTTACATATATTTACTTAAATAAATAATAATTACTCATTATAAATATGCAGTACAAAATGAAATGTATTTGTAAAGTTTATAAGTCTTTTGGAGTATTTAACAAAATATACAGAATAAATATTTCTGAGTATTGAAAATCGGTACATAAATATGTTTTTATTATTAGTCAAAAGCTCTTTGTGTAAAGGATTTATAAATATAGATATTAGAAAACTAATAACAATAAATATATAGTGAATTTTAAATAAAAAAAATTCGTATTTCTTTTGTTCAAACAATTGCATTAAAGTTTGTGAAAAAAATTTAGATTCATACCGTGCAAACTCTATGAAAATAGAATTTACAGTTTTATTAACTGCTGTGAAAAATTTTACAGGCCAAAACAACCAGCACATTTTGAAAGATCATGATCAAAGCTTGCAAAAATGATGCAAAAAATATGATATTGCACCACCAGAAGTAAGTAAAAGTTTGAAATTAGTCTTCCTTTGGAGTAAATAATTCTGATAATATTCAAATCTTGACATTTATTAAAGTGCAAACTTAGCCCTTCACTTTATGATTTTTTTTTAGTTTGTTTTAGGGAAAAATATGATTTTAAAACTTATTTAATAATTCTGAATCATATAATTATTAATAATCTTAATGTTACATTAAGTAATATTACAGTAATAGGGAGCTTTATCCCTACTCGCTGGGCTCACCAACTCCTAGAACTGTTTTTGCAGATTCTTTTAACTCCTTCCTTCTCGCCCCCTTGAAAATGATGAGGTGAGGATTCGCCCTCTATTTCTCATTCCCGTGAAATTTAGGGCTGGAGTGTTCAGTAGTAACGTGCCAATAAGAATAAAACTAATTCATTTCTTTTGCCCGGAAAACATTTTATTTCTCATTTTACACGCCTGATGGCAGTACCAGGATATTTTTAAGGTAATTGTAGATAGTTAGTTTATTTTAAACTAGATGTCAGCACTAATTAAATACATGTATTTGGCAAAATAGGCACTTTTATGACCGTTTTCCTGAAAATTAACCGATCGTTAAGGGGTTAAATGTCTCTGCATTCCAAGTTCACAATGTCACTCAATGGTTCAGATTAGCTCTGAATGAATTTTTTAAAAGAAAAATACAAAAACATAAAGACGCTGTGAAACCTTTGATTTTTATACACTTAGGTACTATTCCATTTTGGCAGGTCATAAAAATTCAATTACCATAGTACATATATTAGTATACTGGGTACCTATTATCACAATTAAGCATCAGTAAATAGTTTAATGAATTTTTTTACAACTTTCTTCTCCCCAAATGGAACAGTATCTACATTTCTCTTGTAAAATGTATTTAAAAAAAGCAAAATACAAAACTTATGATAAAAATATAAATATTTGAGTAACCTCATTTCACATAAGTAGCATAATAGTAGATCATTCTGAAAATCTATTTAAATATATATAAATTTAGGAATTTAAAGAAATAAGAGGAATTAAATAATTAATTCAAGCATTGCCCTCTTGAAAGACATAAGCAAAATTTGTTTCAGCGCTTTATTTAAGGCATAAAATTTACACTCCAATTTCAAAGGCATTTAAATTTTTTTATAATTTTCACTCACTTGATTTATCAAATTTCTGCTCATTGTTGCCAATATGAAAAGGCATTTTATAAGTTATGAATAAATTGAAAGCACATCTCGTATGAGCACAACTTGCATCTGTATTAATAGTACAAAAAACTTTGATCATAATGTTTTGAAATATGCTACCTCTGTTTTGAAAAAATATCATACTAAATAACTTTCCAAAGAAAACATTTAATTTTCAATCAACATAACACAGCAGCAGGTTTTAACTTTTCAGAGGAAAGTATTTTGGAAGTCAAAATTAAATGCAGGTTTCATAAAACGATAAATACTTTTAACAGTAAGGAAAATAAATTGTCTAGGTTTTTGAAAGTACATATTTAATAGACATTACTGTTGTAATAATTTTCGAAACTAATAAAACAATAAAAAAAACTTTCAGACTTGATAAGTACAGCATTTATAAATATTTCTAGCTGATATCTGAAAGTTGAATAAGCCCAAAAGATTCTATTGCTGTGTATTAAATGCAATAAATACAAAATAAAATTTATATTAATGAAACAATCAGTTAGGAAACAGGTCAATTACGGAGGATTTTCAATAGAATGACTTTTTTCTGGGCTTACTAATTCACTAACTAATTGGAACAAATGTTAAGTTAGGATTAATTCAAACAATTGTCATAATGAAGATAATAATATGAAAACATGAACCACTACCTTTTAAATATGATATAACTGAATTTGATTTTTTTTTAAATAGGAAATGAATGAAAAAAAAAGGAATTATAACAAAGAGCAAAAACAAAAATTAAGTACTTGAAATGAATCCATTCAAAAAAGATGAAAATGAAACACAATAAATCATTACCACTTTTTTTTCCTCTTGACTATTTCCTTACATGAATTCAGAAAATCCTTTAATTGTAAACAATTTTTTATGTACAACATGTTATATACAGTTTTTTTTAAACATACATAAATTTTAAAAAATATAACCTCTACTCTTTATAGTCAAAATAATCTATTTTTTTCTTTTGATTGCTAACTGCACTACTAGCACCAGAAGAATTCTTCGTGTCACGTGGAATCACAACAGGGAGAGGCCCTTTTCTAAATCCCATGTCCCTTTCAACAACAGTCATTATATGAACAAAAGGAAGCCAACATTTTGTTCTAAAATGGGGAAAAAATAGAGAATGTAATTAGTGATTGCAGTGAGACAAATTTAATATAATTTTGAATTTCCAAGTAAAGTATTAAAAATTAAAAACAATATTTCATACACAGGATAAGGAAAAAAAGGTTCGAAAATAACTCAAATCATAAAAAATAAATAAACAAAAAAGTATGTGACTTGCACAAAAACACATTAGATTTATTTACATACTTAAAGTTGTTTTTTACTGTATGTGTACAGTGTTCAAAAAAAAAAAAAAAATGGACCACCCTGGATCTTCAAATTTTGTAATACAGGATCATATAAAAATGAATCTTCGAGTTTTAGAACTCAACCTTAATGTCAAGAGAGTGATTGGTGGGTTTTAAATTGGTGGGCTAATTAGTTAGTGCAGACGATATTTTAAGTTATGAAATCAGACACAAAAACATACTTTCTCAGATTAAACTATCAGATTCGGATTTCTGACCCCCAAAATGCAGGAGGTAGAGGCAATCTGGAAAATAAGGTCCCTATAGTTTTGTCTAGACAGTGCTCCAAAGTTTGGATCCCTTAATGTCCATTTTTCCCTTCATATTTTGCCATCACACAATTTTTTAAGCGAATTGCAGCACACAATTATGAAATTAGTAATAATTGTAACAAAGTATACTTTGTTACAAAGAATGCTTTGTACTAGTATACTAGTACAAAGTAGATAATTGTATACTAGTAGATAATTATACTAGTATACTAGTAGATAATTGTAACAAAGTATACTTTGTCACAAAGTATACTTTGTACTAGTATACTAGTATATTTGTTACAAAGTATACTTAATTGTATACAAAGATAAAGATTAAAAATAAAACAATAAATATTTACTAAAATTTATTTTTCGTAAAGAATTATATTTCGATAAACGAATTTTATAATTATGTGCAAAAATTTTCAATTCACTTAAAAAAAATTTGCAATATGGCAAAATATGCAAAAAGTGAAATTAACATTAAGAGGTCCTAACTTTGGATCTCTCTCCTGACCAAACTATGGGAACCATATTTCCCAGATTGCAACTACTCCCTATATTTTGGGAGTCAGCAATCTGAATCTGTTAAAAAAAAAAAGGTAAATTTATTCAGACAAAGAAGGTTTTTTTTGTCTGATTTCGTAACTTAAAATATCGCACTAACTATACTTGACTTAACTATATTTCAAGTCACCCCCTTGAACCATTGAGAGCCAGTATTAGAACATAAAGATCTGATCATTGGGTCAAAAGCTATTCAGGGTGGTCAGTTTTTCAAGGCACATTGTACATTAACAGGATGCTCGGTGGCCGAATGGTAGCACTTTCCGCTCCCGTGCCACAGGACAGGTCCTGGGTTCGATTCTCAGGCCGCGGCAAGGTTGACTCAGCCTTTCACCCCTTCAGTGGGTCAGTAAATGAGTATCAAGCATGTTTGGGAACTAAACACCGGGGCTTACACGTTCGGCTGACCACCAGGCCGGAACCTGCTCCTGCACCTCAGAGTTCAAGGTCAAGAAGACTGAGGTGGGTACAGTAGGCCTTGGCCCCCTATGGGCTGTCGTGCCACTGAGTTTAGTTTAGTTTTTGTACATTAACAGTCAAACAAATTGTTAAGCTGTATACATAAATAATGATTAAGAAGAATAAAATAATAATGATAAAGTAAAACAAAAAAAAAAATAATGTATAAATATTATAAGAAAAATAGAAATTTAACAAAGCATTTTCATTCATGATTTTCTTTTTGAGAAGTAAAAAATTCCATCAAAAGTCAGAAGAATCTTGTTGTTTGGTTGAATAACACAGAGGCTAATGCCGGCAAATAAAGTATTTATTAAAACATAATATGAGGAAACAATAGTTCGCACACACAGTGCTACACATCTGAATCAACCAACAACTAGTCAGCTTCTTCAACAAATATATATCTATTTCCCCTATCGGGAAGTCGTTGTATTACATCACGCAACTCGCGCAACTTATTTGAGAAGGAGAGGAAAAATGAGATTTTATTTGCATATTAACAACAAATCTCATGCCTATTTAGAAGAATTTTGGGTATAAATGCAAAGTTTTTAAGTAACTTATATTGTGCTTCTAAGATTAAGTTAGTCAATTACTAGCCTTACTTTTGTATATTGTGATATAATAGTAAGATTGCAAAAATACATCACACAAATATGCATAAAAAACAACAACAAAGAAATGATATAAGTTAAGTAAGTAAATCACAAAACAGGGCAGATAGGGAAACGTTTTATAGAATTTACCCTTGAAATAATAATCAGAGTGACATAGAGTAGATAACTGAGTAGCTTTGGAAGTTGTATTAATACTTTCACATATAGAATTAACAGCTGTGTAAGATTCATGTTAGGGAAAAAGTACAATAAGTTATCCTAACCATTCCCTTTGTACTGTAACACATTAAAAGGGTGGAAAATACAGAAATTGATAATATTTTTCCCATAATTTTTTTAACGTATATCCAGGAAAAGAATAGAAAAAATTCTTTTACATTGAAATGGAAGTAAGGCCCAGAAAAAATAACAAGAAGGCACAAAAAATATATTTAGTCTGAAGGTAGAGACGATTCAGACAAATTATTATAGTTCCATGTTATCAGATAAGTGAAATCAGAAGAAGCCAAAAAACTCATTAATACTAATAAAATTTTAAGTATAATAATATTAATAGAGATAACAGCATTTTTTGAAAAAAGTACAATATTACTGTTCAAGTTTAAGCATAGACTTTTCAGAGTAATAAAAATTTAACTGAACATTACATTTTTATAGAATTTATTAACAGCTTTAAGGAAAGTTAACAAATTCAATTAAATTTCTTAAATCTCATTTTTTAAGATAGACATTCAATAAAATTTTTGAAATTTATATCAATAGCATAAACCCAATAGACATTACCATAACAAACATGAAATTTTTTTTTAAAAACTTACTTATAAGCAGTAACAACTACATTTTTCTTGGGTTCTTCATCGTAGCTCTGAGTTTCACAACCAAAAAATTCAGCAAGTTCATGCACTACCCTACGTTGATCTCGGTTCATTGGAGGAAAAGAATGGCTCCTGCATTTCTGTTTTGACTGCAACAATGGCAACATTAAAAATATATCTCACCTTTTGAAATTAATGTGTAACTTTTTAACACAAATTACATGCCAAAATTTTTTACCTCTTTAGCTAACTGAACAAGGTCACTTATTTTGCTATAAACATCAGACACAAATGATGGACTTTTCTTAGCTTCTGCTTTTAAAAATTCAGAATAACTTGGAGGGCCAGGTGAACAAGACAAATCTGGGTTCTGTATTTGTAAAGCAATAGCTAGCCGTTTATTTCTTTCCAGAACGGCACATTCTTCATTACACTGCAATCTAAGAAGGAATTCAGCAACATTTTAATTATTTCATTGTAATTGGCATGATATAAAAATAAGTTTAAAATTTTAGATTTAGGTTTTTCAAAAAATTTAAAATAATAAACTCTAGTGAAATTTACCTAGAAATAGCTCCGCTTGTAATAAGATATCATTTTACAGCTACCAACATGCAGAAGCGCAGAATAATATTTCCCCAGAATTTTTTTTTTTTTTTTTTTGGTTTGAAATTTCCCCCAAAGTTATAAAGCTTTCTTTTAAGCAATAATAACTTTTTAAAACAATTTTGCAAAGTCAAATTTGTATATTTAATAATTTTTTGTTTAAAAAATACAAATAATTGAATATTATAATTTTTACAACTAAATTTAAGGTCCTTATCTTAATGAATTAAAACAGATAAATAAATTGAATTACAAAGTTTTTGTGCAATAACAAATTTTTTACAGCAAAAAATTATCTAGCAATCTTCTTTATTTTAAATCAGACCAAGAATTTTCTCACAGCAGTCTGAATTTCCTCCGAACATCGTTCACATGATCTACTGCATTCCTGCCAACAGGATCAGGATAAAATCCAGTTTAAATACACTAGAAACACATTCGAAATTGTCATATTTTGTGTCCTGATTTAAAGCGATTACAGGTTTATTGAGGAAACTTTTAATAAATGGTTGGTTTAATGTAAAAAAGCTCATATTAAATCCTGTCATTAAGAGCATAACTCAGTTTCTATGAAACAATTTTCAAAAACTTTTGCATAAGTAAATCTTCATTTTTAAAATATGACTACTTTGAGACCTAAATTATTTGAAAACTTAAAAGTCAAAGCGGAAAAAAAAGGAGAAAGGTTAGAGAAAAGATTGATTCAATGATATAATCTAAACTAATAAAAATATTGTAGTGAACAAATATTTTATCACTTGAAAGTACTCAAAAGATATGAAGAATGTACAGGAATGTAATGTCACTCGTGGAAAATTTGTTCCCCCCCCCCCCACAAAAATTCTTTCAGTATCTTACTCATTATACATATAAATAGACATATTATAAAACTAAATATTAATAAAAGTAGTAAAAATGTCCCTATTTAATGATTCAAATAACAAACAATAAACTAAGTTTAATGTGGAAAGTGAGGTGCCACTTTTGCTTTGACGATATTCATGAAAAAAATCATCAAATGCACCTACCTTAAAAACATCTTAATCAAAACACTACTAACTAAAGATCAGCTAGCAAAAACGCAGTGTTTTTAAAGAAATTTTGTCAAAATAAGGTGGGTTGAAACTAGTTACAAAAGCCAATAAATCACTTGCAGAAAGATTATTTTAATCTGGTACACAATACCACAACATCTGTGAGAGAATCAATATAATAATAAGAAAGCAATTTGTATAGAAAAAAGAATATTTTATTTAAACCAAAACATACTTGCTACTTTTTGATTTCCTTCCAAGAACATCATTCAAATTGACAGATTGCCCTTCTTTAATTTCTTGCATTTTGCTAGCCAATACGGAAACTGACATCAACCTATAGGTTTTGGTGCTGTCATAACAGGTGGTTTTCTCACTTCTATGTCCACAAGGGCAAGTTAAGGTGACCTTAAATACAGGACATCAAAATAAAATCAACAATTTATCAGACATAAACATCAAAAATTACTATCCAATTTTTTTTTTGTAACAATGCCTTAACTAGAAAAATACCTTTGCTTTGCAAGGAGTTTCTGGACATGAACCATCATGACAATGATTTCCACAGGGGTGACCACAAGTAGTTCTAGGGGTGGAGCATACTTGAGGGCATTGTTCTCTTGGTTTAAGACAGGGACCAGAGTGACAAGTGTTCTGGCATTCATGCTTTCCACATGGGAGAGGGTTTTGACAAGGCATCCCACATGAAACTCCATCCAGGAAGCACATTACACTCCCACATTGCTATAAAATTATAACTTAAGATATAAAAAAAACTGGAAAAAAATAACAAAAATAAACCTATCATCAACAGGCATTTAAATTTACAAGGAAATTCCGTAAAATAAAATAATAAGCACACAGATAATTAGGTTACTCTAAAATAAATTAATTTTCAAGCTGTTTTCTGAAAATGCACTTTAACACTAAATGCATTCAAATTTTTTAATTAAAAAAAAATAATAGAATGCATTGGCAAGAAAAAATCACTGTAAACTACTGCTGAAGTGAACATTACAATTGTAAATTTGAAATATATACTAAAAACAGATAGAAACAATCCTGCATATGTTGCAAGCTCATGGGCGCCTGATGGAAAGAGAAAAAGAGGGAAACGGAGACTAACACAGCAAAGAAGCATTAAGGAATATCTTATTAGAGCAGGATTAACTGAATGGGAAGAAACGCATTGCCTGGCCAAAGACAGGAGTGTGTAGAGGAAAAGAAAAAAGACTTGAGGCCTTATAAGCCAGTTCGGCATGAAGAGGATAAGTAAGCATCAAAAAAAAAAATTTTTTTTTTTTAAAATTAGTTTTGAAAAAGTTTAACATGTTACGAAAAAAATATTAGTGGCTTACCATTGATACTACTTTTTATCTAATGCTCGTTCAAAAATAATCACCATATAGAAGAATAGCATACCTTATGATGACCATAACACCATTTCACAGTCAATGAAGTGCAAGGTGGACATGTCTCATCACTGTGGCAGGTATGTTTCACTTCATGATCACAAGAGTGGCTGCGGATGCATGGTTTAGAGCATTCGGGTGGTTTAACTCCACAGTGTATAGGAGGATATAAAACAGATTCACCACAATGACATCTAAGCTCATCGAAACCTAAAAAAATTTGTGACACATAAATATAAAATTATGTAGCATATTTAAAATATTTTTTGGGTATTATAAAAAATGAAGTAAGATTGGATTAAGCTGATAAAAAATACACAAAGGAATAATCTTTCAAAAAAGTGCAGACTCTTACAGAAAAGCATTTAATACAAATTTCTAACATTGATGAGTTCCGTAGAGTTTCAGAATCATTTAAATACAAGGAGAAAATTCTTGTAGATCAAAAAATGTAGATGTAGAGATTAAAAAATTTTCTGAGTTCAAAAAATAAAAACATTTCCAAAATGCTTTATTTAACCAACCCAGGAACAGAAATTCAGAAAATTTAGTTACTGGTGCAAAGGACCAGCAACTGAAAGATATTACATGTCTGTAAAGGGTATTTTGGAAGAAAAAGTGTTAAATAAAGTGTATTTAAATGAAAAATTACAATTCAGATAATATGTTATATTGAACAATTATGATGCATTATGCTATGTTGTGACAAAAAAATAAAACAAATTATAAAAATATAAAAAAATCTTACAATCAATTGCTCATCCGGGAGACAACTTACATTTTTTTAATGGTCGAAGTCAGATTTTTTAACCAATGGAACACCATTAATTTTAAACCAACAAATATATCTTTAGTTTTATTCAATTAAGATTAGTTAATGGAATAGACCTTCTATAGGTCTTTTTAATAGAGTGAAACATCCTTCCGTTGTTCCTGCATCTTTCAATTTCCAATATGTACAGTCTTATCCAACAGTTCTGTTACAAATGCTATTCTAATTATGTTTATGATAATGTTTAAATCATGTTTGAAACTAGCAGATTGCCATGTCCATTGCTTAAAAAATCTACCAACATTTAAAAATATTGAAGTTAATTTGCTTTTAAATGAACAACAATAACTCCTGATATTAATGATGAAAAAAATCAAGATATGTTACAGTTTGGGAAAAATGCCTCAAACAGCATGTTTGATGTTTGTGCAATGTTGGAACTTCTGGTGTAGTCAGCTCCAGAAATGATTTCTTAAGTTGAAAAAGTGCAAAGTAATGCTGATGAAGATGGCAAAATGGAACCACAACCAGTACTAACGTTTGTAGAAATTCTCCAAGTCTTTGAAAGAATGAGGAACAGTGAAGAAAAAAATAACCGTTCGCATTGAAGATTTGTATTTTTTAAAAAAAAGCTTTGTTAGAAAAAATGATCACAAGATAGATTTACTTTCTATTATTTAAGAAAAAATTAGTTTTTAAGAATTCTATATTTTATTCGTAATTTACTTTGAAATAACTAGTTTTTAATATTTTACATTAATGAGCATAGTAAAACCTAATTTTATAAAGAACTAACAAAATATATATGTAAAATAAAATTTTATTAAGATAAATTAACGAAACTAAAACTAAATATATATGCTACTAAAAACACATATTGAAATCACAATTACAAATAGCAGATTAAATTTTTAATCAAATACTGTTAGGTATGAATGCTTAAACTGACTCTTAAATAACATGAAATGTTGTTTTGTTTTCCTCCAAAAATTTGGATGCGAAAAACTTTATAACTTTCTGAAAACATTAAATTTAATTAGTTTTAATTTAAGCTACTTCTATAATATCATTACGTAAGTTCTTTTCAGTTCATTAAATTTTATCCCCAGTCCTAGAAGAAATAGGTTTCTTTTGGACAAAATACCAATACTGAGAAAAAACATTATAATACTAATTAACATAATCTGAAAAAAAAATATAGCATTAGTAGTCACAGTACATGATGAGAAATTCAATAAATGTAACTACAGTCGAACTCGTTTATAACGAGCTCGGATTTAACGAGAACTCGGATTTACCGAGGAAAACGAGAATATTTGGTTGGATCAATGTTAAGTCTATGGAACAGAAGTCGCTTTTAACGAGCAAGACCCGGTTTTAGCGAGCAATATTTTTCTGTCTTGCAATCTTTTTTTCAAAATGATAAGAAATGCGTGCGACATAAAAAAAAAAACGCGAACTGAAACTTCAAAGTAAGCTAACAAATTACTATTTTAAATATGTAGATTAATGAAAAAAATAAATGTTTTGGTAAGAATCTTTTCCTTTATTTTTCTTTCCGTTTATTGCTTCTTTCCTTTAAGACTGTAGCGCAACTAGAAATTTTTTGCTGGTTAGGGGGGATAGTTGTCGTTAAATTAAGAAAAGTAATTAATTAAATTAATTAAAGTAAGTAAGTATTAATTAAATTTTATGTAAACTCAAAAATTTGACCTCTTCTGGTTGCACGCCTGCCTTAAGGACCCGTTTATTACGAGCACTCGGATTTAACGAGTACATGTTACGGTCCCTTTGTGCTCGTTATAAACGAGTTCGACTGTAATAGGAATGCAAAGAAATATAGTTAAAAGAAAAAATTATAAAATGTTACTTACTAACATTCCAGCATGTTGGACAATTGCCAGCATGACATGTTTCCTGGCATTGATGATTACCACAAGATAATTTTTTATTGCATACCAGTTCACATCTATGTTCAGCATTGGTGCAACATTTGTTTAGGCATTTATGGCGACCACAGTCTTTACGTTTGCTACAACGTTTTTCACAAGTATAATCAAATGTTGGGGAAATTTCTGCACATTTAAATTCTTTGTTATTAGCTCCACATCGACATTTTCTAGAAGTACTGAGAGGGCAAGGAGGACAAGGTCCAACATGACAGGAAGACTGACATTTATGGTTTTTATCTGAGGAAAAAAAAAAAGGAAATATTTTAAAACATTTATTTATATCTTATAAAATACAAATATATCCAGAGCAACATTTTTTTAATTTAAATAATAAAGGAGCCATAGTAGTTAAGGTACTCAGCTGTCATTGTAAGGGATTGGGGTTCAATCTCTGAAGGCAGCCAGAAATCTTTCCAGTTTCAGATCGATCGTTACATGCTTATCTGTAAAGTAGTGTTAGTTTAAAATGATTGCCATCATCACGCGTTTGGTCCAGAAATTAAGGAACCCTAACCTCCATAACCCCTTTACAGATGGACTAGACTGTTACAAGAATGCTTAACTTTTGAAATAAATGAATAAATAAAAACAAAACAACTTTTGCGATTTCATATCACAGGAAAAGAAATATTATCTACTAAGTATGTTACTAGATATAATTAAAGAATTTTTAAATAAATCAGGCCTTTTTTTACAAAAGTAATATGTCTTAAAGTTATGTTTGGTAAGCATAAATACTTGTTAGTTAATGTAAAATATCCAACAAATTGCATTTAAAATAATATAAATATATTATTTTAAATGCCCCTTTTATAGATAAATAACATTAAAAATATATATCAAATTTTATTCTAAAGTCTGATGAATTTAAAAGTTGTTCTTGCACACTTACCGAAAAAAAAAAAAAGAAAAGATGTGATGACAATGAATTGGTTAGCATGGCTGACATAACATACAAACTAAAAAATGCACTGAGTACATTTCTAAGAGTTCATTCAAGGGTATATCTTGTTCATAATAAAATGTATAGAAATTTGTGACAAATCAACTTCCAAGATAAATAATTGCTACAGTAGCTAAATCAATCTTTTGTAGCTAACGAATGTCAGCCAGTTTGAATTTCTAAGCACAACCATAATAACTAAAAAAGAAATTAATAATAAGATATTGCAGGTAAAAAGATGTGATTTTGGTTTGAGAAATTAACTTTAAGTTTAACTCTATTTAAAAAAATAATAAAAAATACATACATGAAAATAAATAACTGGTTTTGGGAAAAAAGATACCTTGAGCTATACTTGGAATTATACAAGCATATTATTTTAATATCACTTCAACACAATCATAAATATGGAGAAAATTTAAATTAACTAAACATTGCAGCTATTCAATCAGACAAAATAAAATATTTGAAACACATTTACAGAAAAGATGGTTCAGACTAGTTATTCAGCTAGCCTTGATAGAACCAATAGTAAATAGCTTTGGGCTGTAATAGGTTAAGTTAACTAAGAGCTCAAGTCATTACAAAAAGGAAAAACGCCCTTTTTTTTAAATTAAACAAAGCAAAAGAAAGAGCCGCGATGGTTCAGTAGATAGAGCATTCGCCTTCCAATGAGGTAAACTGGTTCTCGTAGTCTTCCTCTCCGTGTAATGCAAATGCGGGTTGGTTCCATCAAAAAGTCCTCCACGAAGGCAAATTTCTCCCAATACTTGATCCAAGAGTTCCTTTGTCTTCTAAATTGGGTTCAAAATTACAAGGCTACGGAGTTGAACATTAGTAGTCGTAAACCCAAATTTGGGTTGACTGTTTGACGATGGTTACAAAATAAAATAGCAAACAAAAGGGAACATTCTTAGTTTCAATGAAATTCTCTAAATTTACTTAACTTAAAGGAAAGCTTGAAATGTTTATGTTGCATAAACATTCAACTATTAAGATAAATTGTATACTGAAAAAAAAGTACATTAAGTGAAGTCAATACATAAATCTATTCTAAAACTGAATATATATTAATACCTTTTGGCCCACAGAACAAAGTTTTATTACATATTTTGTTGCAAACAGGAACTGGGTCTTCACACGACTTTCGAGATGAAGCTGGATTCGTAACAACGAGCTCGTTTATACTTGTTTGCCCACAAGGACAAGTCCTGATGGCTTCCACGGTAAGGTTGCAAGGTGCACATGAACCAGAATGGCAAACAGAACTGCACTTATGGTGTCCACACTTCAACAGTTTTTCACAAACACTGCCACAAGAAAAGTATTTAAGAACAGAATTTTCTTTAGTGCAAATAACTTTACGTGACTCTTTGCTACAGTAACACTCTGAAAGAAATGAAGGTTTATATAAGTTATTTTTCAGAACATTGTAACAGACAAGTAGGATGCTAAACTTTTCACAATAACAATTTTGTTATAATAAGTAATAAGATTTCAACTATTCAAGAACCATTGAAAGAGTTTTAGGAAGCTTGAGGGAAAAAAATTAATATTGAAAATTAAAAAATAGAAATATATTATTTATTTTAAGATATAATTACTAATTTTTAAAAATATTTTAACTTAAAGGGCTGGTATGTGCTTACCAGTTAAATCTCATTACTAATTATAATTTTCATTTTTTTTTTGTTGGCAAAATTGACTGCAATTATACTAAATTTCAGCCACTTAAGACAAACTTATTTATAAATAATTTTATGATAGACTTGTTTTACTTTAAAACTTTATAAAAGCACAATTTACAAACCATATAGAATTTCACTGATTACTTTGTACTATGTTCTAGTCATATTTCATAAGAATCTAATCACTATATTTGTTTTTAAGGTATTTACTAATATTACAAATTGTTAGCTTGCACTTTTCTTTATGTCTATTATTTCCTTATGTTCCTTATGTCTTTTTTAATGTACTATTTTAGCATATAATTACATCACCTAGTAGAAATAAAAGAAATTATATTTTGTTTAATTTCATAACAAAATATTTGGTTTTTGAAAGTAAATGAATCAGAATATCAAGGAAAACAAATAATTTCACTTTCACAATTTATTTTTTAAATGGTATCTTCAAGAAACAAATACTCCGAAGGAAATATTAATCTATCTTGAATAGTGAACTTTTCAATTAAAGGACAGAAATTTAAAAAAAGGAAAAAAGAAAACAGTACTTAATTTAAAAGTATTTGCATATTTGATACGAAGAGTGGCAGTTTTATTGAGGTGTCACTATATACATATATGTATATATTATATATACATATATATATATATATATATATATATTTATTGCATACCAGTTCACANACAGTATTTTTACAGATGATTAAAAGTACAGATGATTAAAACTTGCCCAACAGAAATTTGATAGTACTTTATTTACATTGCACTAGAGCGCTACAATGGGCTATTGACACCTATATATATATGTATATTATATATAGATATTATATAAAGTGATCTGAGAAAATGAGATTTTATTGACAAATTAGATATTGGGGTAAGCCTTGGATGTATTTTGATGTATAACGTTTTCCCTTCATGTAAAAATCAGAAATCACATAAATGAGTTAAAAGGTTATTCCCAATTTGCCCTAGGGTTTCAGATGCCTATAATAAAAAATAAAACTAAGATGAATACAACAAAAATAAATCTTGCTTAAAATAAAGAAACAATTCAAGGTTTAAGGAAATAATTCAAGGTTAATGTGAACCTTTGGTCACAGCACATACATTATTGCAATAGTTCAGTTCCTGCTAGACTGCACTCAACAATATTGATCACAGGTGTGATATTTAAACAAAATTCTTCTTAATCACACAACAAAATGGGTAAGAAAACAAAGTCTTTTACACAATTCAATAAGTCACAAGTTAAAGGAAATTTTATTTAAAGGTGCCAATTTTCCAAACTAGTCATTAGTAATCAGAAGTACAAAAGCACAAATATACAGTTAGTGTAAATGATATTCAAATAAGCACAATTATATATTACTTAATTCAATATAGGTACATAATATCAATAAAATTATGCATGAATTTACAATTAAAGAAAAGAAATGCTTAGGTAAAGACAATTAAAAATTATAAAACACTGATATTTTATACTTCATTATAAAATGATAAAATTAATAACCTGAAATCAATGTTCAAGCTTTTGGTTAAAACAGAACTATCCCTTATTGCCTTTTTATCGTTCTGCATTTGAACTAAAAATCTTTGTTCACAGCATTTCAGATTCGAATTTATTTTTTATATATATATATACGTATATATTTTTTTTTTACTTTTCTATAAGAAGAGAAGTTTCAAAATAGCTTGTTGTAATGAGAAATACGGGATTTCTTTCCAATTTTTATTTCTTAGTTCTATCAAAACATTTTTGTTCATTTATTGCTTTTAGTATTGTTTAAGGAGTAGGAAAAAAAACTAAAAATAAGTTAAAAACAACAAAATTTCAAAACTTTAGGGTAGATAAGGCAAAAACTTATTTTAAACAAATTAGAATCAAAATTCACAAAAACTATAATTTTTGTCACTCAACCGTAATCTTGCTTATGAAATCCTAATAATTATGGATAAATCTTAATAGTTGGCACCTCTATGTATTTACTGCAAAGTTTGTTTTTGCTGTATCCATCTAGTTTTTTTTTAATAACAGTCTCCTGAAATTCTGAAGGAATTCTGAATGAATATACATTTATGAATTAAATACAGTGATAAAATATTTTGTTATACCTTGGGAAATTTCTGCTTCACAGGGTAAACATTCTCCAAAATGGCATAAGCTTTTACAAGAATGGTTACCACAGTTTAATGTTTTATCACAAATAGAGTCACAGGTTTCTTGGTTAGACTGCTTACACGTTGTTGTCTAGAACCAAATAAAAAGATACAAGATTAATAAAGTTTTGGAAACATATAATTGTTATAAAGTGAAATTTATTTGGATTGTAAAAAATTATTTTGGATTGCAAAAAGTTATAAAATAAAATTTTAAACTCATTCTTTTGAAATTCATAGCATTTTTTTTTCAATTATAATCAGCCAAAAAGTTTACTAGTTAACAAAAATGGTTCAATATCAGGAAACTCAAATTTTTCATATTTAATTTTAAAGCTAACTTTAAAATTAGGATTGTAATAAAAGGTCTTTTGTTACTGAAGCTTTAAGCAAATTTTTAATAACTTTTAATTTGGTCTACTACATTAATCTTATATTTAAATTAAGACACCTCAGAACCCATTAAAGTTACTATGATTACTATTTACAAGACACTCAACTGTATTGTTGCTTATTTCCATGCAACTACCTTTCTTTGAACAGTATTTTTACAGATGATTAAAAGTACAGATGATTAAAACTTGCCCAACAGAAATTTGATAGTACTTTATTTACATTGCACTAGAGCGCTACAATGGGCTATTGACACCTATATATATATGTATATTATATATAGATATTATATAAAGTGATCTGAGAAAATGAGATTTTATTGACAAATTAGATATTGGGGTAAGCCTTGGATGTATTTTGATGTATAACGTTTTCCCTTCATGTAAAAATCAGAAATCACATAAATGAGTTAAAAGGTTATTCCCAATTTGCCCTAGGGTTTCAGATGCCTATAATAAAAAATAAAACTAAGATGAATACAACAAAAATAAATCTTGCTTAAAATAAAGAAACAATTCAAGGTTTAAGGAAATAATTCAAGGTTAATGTGAACCTTTGGTCACAGCACATACATTATTGCAATAGTTCAGTTCCTGCTAGACTGCACTCAACAATATTGATCACAGGTGTGATATTTAAACAAAATTCTTCTTAATCACACAACAAAATGGGTAAGAAAACAAAGTCTTTTACACAATTCAATAAGTCACAAGTTAAAGGAAATTTTATTTAAAGGTGCCAATTTTCCAAACTAGTCATTAGTAATCAGAAGTACAAAAGCACAAATATACAGTTAGTGTAAATGATATTCAAATAAGCACAATTATATATTACTTAATTCAATATAGGTACATAATATCAATAAAATTATGCATGAATTTACAATTAAAGAAAAGAAATGCTTAGGTAAAGACAATTAAAAATTATAAAACACTGATATTTTATACTTCATTATAAAATGATAAAATTAATAACCTGAAATCAATGTTCAAGCTTTTGGTTAAAACAGAACTATCCCTTATTGCCTTTTTATCGTTCTGCATTTGAACTAAAAATCTTTGTTCACAGCATTTCAGATTCGAATTTATTTTTTATATATATATATACGTATATATTTTTTTTTTACTTTTCTATAAGAAGAGAAGTTTCAAAATAGCTTGTTGTAATGAGAAATACGGGATTTCTTTCCAATTTTTATTTCTTAGTTCTATCAAAACATTTTTGTTCATTTATTGCTTTTAGTATTGTTTAAGGAGTAGGAAAAAAAACTAAAAATAAGTTAAAAACAACAAAATTTCAAAACTTTAGGGTAGATAAGGCAAAAACTTATTTTAAACAAATTAGAATCAAAATTCACAAAAACTATAATTTTTGTCACTCAACCGTAATCTTGCTTATGAAATCCTAATAATTATGGATAAATCTTAATAGTTGGCACCTCTATGTATTTACTGCAAAGTTTGTTTTTGCTGTATCCATCTAGTTTTTTTTTAATAACAGTCTCCTGAAATTCTGAAGGAATTCTGAATGAATATACATTTATGAATTAAATACAGTGATAAAATATTTTGTTATACCTTGGGAAATTTCTGCTTCACAGGGTAAACATTCTCCAAAATGGCATAAGCTTTTACAAGAATGGTTACCACAGTTTAATGTTTTATCACAAATAGAGTCACAGGTTTCTTGGTTAGACTGCTTACACGTTGTTGTCTAGAACCAAATAAAAAGATACAAGATTAATAAAGTTTTGGAAACATATAATTGTTATAAAGTGAAATTTATTTGGATTGTAAAAAATTATTTTGGATTGCAAAAAGTTATAAAATAAAATTTTAAACTCATTCTTTTGAAATTCATAGCATTTTTTTTTCAATTATAATCAGCCAAAAAGTTTACTAGTTAACAAAAATGGTTCAATATCAGGAAACTCAAATTTTTCATATTTAATTTTAAAGCTAACTTTAAAATTAGGATTGTAATAAAAGGTCTTTTGTTACTGAAGCTTTAAGCAAATTTTTAATAACTTTTAATTTGGTCTACTACATTAATCTTATATTTAAATTAAGACACCTCAGAACCCATTAAAGTTACTATGATTACTATTTACAAGACACTCAACTGTATTGTTGCTTATTTCCATGCAACTACCTTTCTTTGAACAGTATTTTTACAGATGATTAAAAGTACAGATGATTAAAACTTGCCCAACAGAAATTTGATAGTACTTTATTTACATTGCACTAGAGCGCTACAATGGGCTATTGACACCCGTCTGGGAAATATTCCAGAAGAAGATCTGGAAAAATGCTGTCACAATTTTAATTCTATGCCGAAAATTTCTAACATTATCTCTTTATTAACCACAGAAGCTTAGAAAATTTGGGGTGATAAAAAAAAAAAAAAAAACTGGAAAAAAGTTAAATAAATAAGAAAAGATCATAAAATTGGTGCAAAATTGTTTATTCTTATTCAGGGTGCGAAGCCAAATCTTTCAACAAAAAATAAGCACCTTTTAAGTACTATTTAAGCACTATATACGTTAACAAAATGAAAAATAATTTTCAGAGTTTAGATGATTATGAGAAAATAACTAGTTTCTGATAAAAACACTCTTTTCTTGATTATATTAGCCGTTATAAAATGATCAAGAGATTTTTAGGTTTGATATCAGAGGGTGGAAAATGAAGTCTGAAATTGAGAATATCTTGCAAAATGCAGCAGTTACACATGAGAAGGCAATAATCTCACTAAACCCAGCTCAGTAGATGCACATACGGACTCGTGAGTATTTCACCAAACATATAAAATTATTAGCGCTTATGTACGCTATGGACCGAAGGTATATGAAAAGCAACAATATGAAAAACACACTTTTTTTAAGGGCTTTTAATTAACGAAAATCGAAAATAAGCACCTTTAAGCACTTTTTAAAAATGCTACGCACCACGTTTTTAAGAAATATAGAAAAATTAACATTAACATTTAAAATGACAGATAAAATTCACAAGAAATTGCAATGAAAAATACAATGAATACAAAAAGATATATTAAATAAATAAATTTATTTAATACCTTGAAAGTTTTACCACATCCACAAGATTTTTGCACAACAATTACACAGGTAGGGCATGGTCCAGGGTGACATATTTCCTTGCAAAGATGAGTACACTCTGGCCTTTTCCTGCTGCAAATTTCCCCACAGCTATGAGGAGTGATATGGTAATTTATCTCAGGATTCTTTTGCTTCCCACAGAAACAGTAATAGTCATAAGGAACTTTACTTGTTAAGCTCTGACAGGCAGGGCAGCGCCACCCTCCATCTGAAAGGAACAAATAATTACATTAAAACTGAAAAAAAAAAAACTCAGATTTCAAATGAATAATTTTAACTTTATAATTAGATATTGAATAAGTTTTTGAACAATACTAAGGTAAAACAACATTAACTCACAAGAGTCATTTTTTAAAGGTAACATGGATTTGACCATGTCTGAAATAGTCTTATTTCAGTTTTACCAAGTCATTAAAAAAAGAAATAGTCAAGTATAAATTGGGAACAGTTGCAGTGAAAAAAAATACATTTTTATATTTGTTGTTTCATTAGGCTGTCTAAAAGAGCAGCTAGCACTTTTTTACAACTAAACCTTAAACTTAAACCAAAACCTTAAACGATCGAGCATCTTTTTGGAAGAACCCTAAGTTTATAAATAAAATTAGCAGTTGTGAAAACACACAAAAAAAAACTACTAATTATTTTGATAATATTTAATGTGAAAAACAAATTCATTGTTTTATCAATTAAAATCATTGGTTATATTCTATCAAACAGTTAAATTTGTAGGTCTGGAGCAGTATCAGAATTTGTTTATGGTGTATGCATAAGTTGGATAAAGTACGCTGTTATAAGAGAAGCATAATTCTAGGATTGGATCATTTTATTTTGAATTCAAAAGTTTGATGAGAAATGATAAAATTTTTATTAAGGCAAAAAAAATTATTTTTTTTATTGGTATTTTGCTTAAACAATTTCATGAAATGTAATGACATGTTTAAAACATTTAAACTCTGGGAACCTACCATCAAATCTTAGGGTTCCACAGAACACTATTTGGGAACCGCTGTTCTAAAAGTTTAACAAATCAAATCTATCTAAGAGTTGGCTATTCATGTATTAATGCAGAGAGAAAATTTTTAATCTCATTTTAATTTTTTATATTTATTCATGTTTATTTTTATTTATACATCTCCTTTTTTTATATACATGCTATTTAATTTCATACCTATTTCTTTATACTAAATTCATAGAATTAAGGACTATGATTAGTTTTGAACTACCTCAGACCAATTAATCAAATTTAAGGTAATGGAAAATATTATACATTTCATATTTTTAACAAAATTAAAATTGCATATACAGTAGGGAACCAATTATCCGGAACGATCGGGACCATCGCTATTCCGGATAACTGATTTTTCCGGTTTTCTGAATCGCTACAAAAAGCGGTTTTTTTCATTGTTAAACCCAACTAAAAATATAATTTTATTTGGAAATAATCTTAAAAAGAAGAAAAAACGATGGATTAATACACTAATGATTATTTCCAAAATGATGATAAGGTGAACATCTTTCAAAAAGAAAGAAAAATCCTAAAATCTCATGAGGAAAAAAAAAATTTTTTTTTTTTAAATGGCGGGAAAATGTATCGAATTTCGTTCCGGTTTTTTTGTTTTCCGGTTTTCTGATTTCCGAATAACGGGTTCTGTACTCTGGGGTCTGTCTAGGTTTTTCTGAAAGGTACCCATTTTGAGAAAATTTAGACATAATTTGTGAAAAATTAAAAATTATATTAAAAAATCAACACAAAAACATAGTAAAAATATAGATTTATCGTTTCTTAAGGGATACAAGAATAAAATTTTAAGAAAAAGTATTTTGTGAAACTACCGTTTTTCCTAAAATTGAATTTGTGAAGGTACCGCTAAACGGTAGCAAATTCGACCTGGACAGACCCCTGGTACTGTATATATCTATGAATAAACATACAAATTAAATTTTATGTTACAGAATTGCACATATTTTAACATTTCTTTATGACTTTCTCATTCAAAAAGGCAAAATTGCTCCCTGAAAATTACTTTGTAGCCTTTATTTACATTATATTTAAAAACAAACCTTCAACAGTAGCTGCAGGAGAACGTGCCCATTTCCTAATGCATCTTAAATGAAAAACATGGTAACAGCTTAAGCAATGCCACATCTGGTCCTTTACTCTGATTGACTCACAACACACTAAGCACTCACAATCGCCTTTACTTAAATGCTGGATCAACAACTCTGAAATAATATATATTAGGTATAAATAATTTAAGAGACAAATAGTTTAAACATTTCATTACTAACAAATACATTAAATAGAAAAACAGCCAATAAAATTCATAAATATAATGTAATTCAATTTTCTAAAAAATTTAGTAGTAATTATATATTCATTAAACACATCAAAAACTTGTATAAACATTCATTAGTTAAAAAACTAGGTATTATATAACTACATTAATCTCTCAGACAGGGTTTAGCTTAAAACAACACAACTTTTATGAATTCTCTTAAATTTCCATTTATGGGTCTATGAGACAATTTGTAATACGTCATCAGATATTGTTATATTGTCAATTTGACTAATAAAACAATGTTCTGCTGTTAAGTGTTTTTTATTTATTTATTTTTTCTTTTTTTTTTATAATGGTCTGACTTTATTTGTAAATGAATAAAATGAATCTACACAAGAGTTTAGTAGGTAAGGCTTCTTTTTCATTTATTAAACTTTTCATTATTTTGGGTATTTATCCGTTATAGAGGCCCGTAAAAAATAACCCTACTATCACTGATGCCAGTAATTATGGCACTAAGTAATATACTAGGATTGTGTTAATAGGTAATGTAATATTACCCTTAATGCATATCACATTGCTTATTAAAATAATATGGAAATAAATAAGGAATGAAAATTCAGATTTTAGACCGAGCAAAATAGAAAAAAAAACATTTGTTTCCAATTTAAAAAAAATAAGTGTGAAGATGTTAAGATGGTCAATAAGTATCAGTAATATGCATGCACTAACAGCTAAGGCCAGGTGTCCGTAATCTATGGATAGGTAGGTATATTCGAACTTCAGACAATTCTAGATAGATGGGTCAATAAGTATAAGGCTTTGTAAAAAATAAAAACTAAATAATTAATTCTAGTTTAAAATTATTTTGCAATTTAATAAAATTAAAACAGGGATAAAAAGACAGCTTTTTGCAACAGAGCAAGATCCAAGTGCTTAACAAATCCATACGCTAAACCAAAAGTATGTAAAATATTAGTGTCTTTCTAACCTTTAACCATCTCGTCAAAAATTTACAATAAAATAAATCCAAAAGAAAAAATTAGTAAAAGTTATAGAAGTATTCATACAATTTTCAGATTTGAATTTTCTTTAAAATAAAATTCAAAAGATCAATATAAGATAAATTACTTAAATTTTTTGAGATGTATTGTGTCAGAATCTCATACTTTTATCATCGTCTCAGTATAAAGGGCAAACAATAAAAAGTTAGGAAAGACTCCATTAAATAAAATTGAAATTTTTTTAATAATAAATAATATAGAAAAAAATATTAAATGAAAAAGTGTTACTCAATTCAATACAAAAATTTATTTATGATTTAAAATTAAAATTATGAAGTGTATGAAAACTTCGCAGAACCAGAAGACACTTTATGCAGTGTCCACCTTACAAGATCTGTATTTAAAAAAAAAAAAAAAATTAAAATTTATTTTATAACTTTTAGCTAAATGTTTAAATAAAATGCATCGAATGTTTTTTTTTCAATTCTCATAATATTCAAATAAAAAAAAATTAAATGAAAAACATAACTTAAAAAGTTTTAATCAATTAAGTTTTGCAATTAATACTACATACTTTGCATCAAGGGAGAAAAAAAAAACAGTTTCTTGCATTTATGTATGAAAACGATTTTTCTAAGAACTGTAAAAAAATAATTTTTAAAACTTGAATGCAATCAAAGTAACATTTAAGCCTGATAATAATCATTTAGATAAATGTTTAAAATAAAAAAAAATTTCTTGAACAGGTCTAAAAAAAGTATAAATGCACTGAGAGTGTTTGTTTTTCTTTCTCAAAGGTTTTTAAGCTCCGCTTATCTTTTTTTTAATTTTAATGTCAAGCTGAAAAAAGATAAGGATTATTTATAATGCAAAGAGCTCCACACAATTGCTTATACTCTTAAAATCAACTAAATTAGACTTTAAATAATAAAACTAAATATTCTAGCTACTTGTGATAGATTATAATCTTCTGAATATTTCTAATAAGAAACTATGAAAAAATCTATAATATATAAAACATTTAGCTTTAAATGATAATAATAAATAACAAATCACCAAAGAAACATAAAATTAAAAATAATTATTTTTAAACCTGCCCTGCTTAAAAATGTTTGTGTTGAAACTTGTTTACAGCAAAATATATCATCCTATTTTGCAATTATCTTTTTTTAATAGTAATTACTCAGGATAGCAAATGTTAAAAAATTATAATAAATTATACATAAAATCAGATATTATAGTGCAAATTTTTTTTTATAGAAAGCTATAAAAAATTATTTGCACTATAATATATAGTAATGACTGCTTTTTAGTGAGCAGATTTCAAATGGAGAGTAATTTTTTTTTCCAGTCACATATGGATTTTTCACAAAATTGACTTAGAGATTCCATAATAAAATGCCTATTGTACAGATTCTGAAGTAGATAAAAACTATCACTATATAGTCATGTGAGGTATTACATATGTATATTTTTAGACTGAATTGAATGACTGTGAAATCAAGTTGATAGGACAAATAGTTTAGAAGTTATAAAGGTTTTAGGAATAAAAAGTGTAGTTTTGTATTAACTACCAATTTATGTGTCGTGTGTTGCTGTACAGGCTAGTACAGACATTATTTTATATGAATTTTGTTGCATTGAACTACATGTGACAAAAACTAAGTCATCAGGATTAAAAAATTAAAAGTTAAGGAGATTCTTATACATCAAAAGTACAACTTTGCTCTTATACTTATTTACATGTTTCATGCTGTTATATAGAAAAGTAAGACATTTTTTATTGTGTATTTTTTTATTGCTAAATCTAATAAAATTTAAATTAATGGGACTAAAAGTTTTTAAGCTATGAAGGTCTTAGGGGCAGTTCAAAAAGTACGTACATCCCGAAGGGGGTGGGAGATTTGCTATTTTGTATGATGGGGAGGGAGGGAGGTATTATACAAAGTATGTACATTATAAGCATAACACACATTTAAATTTGACTTTTTTCTACACATGTATTATACATATGTTTGTTCTTGTGTTTTTTTTCACACGGCAACCACTTGTTAGAATGAGCAAATCAGTTCTCAAAAAAAGTTGTCTCGTAAAACAAAAAATTGCAAACACCAAACTTTCCCCGAAACTTTTTCTGTTACCATCCTGAAAACATCCTCCTGCAATCACAGCACTGCCACCCCGAAACCCAAAACCTTTAATTTTATTTAAAACATAATTATTTTAATTTTTATGAAAAAGGGGTGTAGACTAATAAAATGTACATACTCTAAAGGAGGGGGGGGGGGATTAAGACCTTATGTACGGTAATGTACGAAGGGGGGAGGGGGTTAAAATTTCTCCATTTTTGTGTACGTACTTATACATGGGGGGGGGGTATAAATTCAAAGTTGTAATTTTCTTACATAAACCCTGATTTCTTCTAAACTGTTAGTTTTATTGACTTAATTTTGTTTTAATTTAACTTAACATAAAAAAGTATACAAGGAACAACACATAAGTAGGTGTAGGTAATAAAAATAAATAAATAAATAAGCAGAACATTTATAAATTCTAAAGTACTAGTTTTATCAACTAGAGGTAGGATTCAGCTCAGCAAAATAAAATACATCACATCTCATTTGTCTAGATAAAGATATCAAAAGTTTCTTCTCTTGGGCTAAGAGCCATTTTCAAGTATAATCTATCAAAGCAAAAAAAAAAAAAAAAAAAAAAAAAAAAAAAAAAAAAAATATTACAGTACAGAACCCGTTATCCGGAAATCAGAAAACCAAAAAACCGGAACGAAATTCGATAAATTTTCTCGCCATTTTTTTTTTAAAAAAAAAAAACATTTTCCTCATAAGATTTTATGATTTTTCTTTCTTTTTTTAATGATGTTTACCTTACCATCATTTGGAAATAATCATTAGTGTATTACTTCAGTGTTTTTTCTTATTTTTAAGATTATTTCCAATTTTTTTTTAGTTGGGTTTAACAATAAAAAAACGGCTTTTTGTAGCGATTCAGAAAACTGGAAAAATCAGTTATCCAGAATAGCGATGGTCCCGACCGTTCCAGATAATTGGTTCCCTACTGTATTTAAAAATTTGTTTTGATTGATTCACTAAAACTAGCCTAAATACCATCAGTTTAAGCTAGAGGTGATAATTTAGGACACTAAATATGCATCCATGTCGTTAGAAGATAACAATACAATAAGGTGGCTACTAAAATTTAAAAAAAAAAAAAATACTAAAAAAGTTTGACAAATTTTCAATTTATGAGACAATGGTATGTGAGCGAATGCTTTTATTTCCTGAAATCAGTGTCTAAAAATCTATTAGAATCAGTTCGTTGCTTCTAGAAAATTTTTTTGATATCAGACTTGCATTAAATTGTACTTGTTAAAATATCAAACCGTGACGTATGAACTAAGATTCAATTTAGATTACAAGTGTCACAAAATAAATAAACAAATAAAATTATTTTCAGTTTCAAATGTATTCAGTAAATATTTGATCTGTATAAAACATTCATTGTGATGATTACAGTCTTTAAAAAACCCTTTTTAAAAGGTATTCTATAAAAGTTATATAAAAGATAAATAAACAAAATAAATATACCTCTTTGATTTGCATCATTTTCTTTATACCTTGACAGCTTTGAGCTGCGACTTTCTTTATTAAAAACTCTATTAGATGAAGTGTTTATTTTCTTTTCATCATCGATTCCTGACGAGTAATGATAAACATCAGTTGGAGAAGCAATTGCATCATACTTTCGAGAATTCGAATGAGTTTTTCTTTTGGCATTATCATTTGTATGATTCATACTTTCATACGCATAATCCCTATTGTAATCAAAATCATAATATGTCTTTTGCTGTTCTTTCAAAACATGGGTTTGATCTCTGCTAGGGGGGTAGGAACAATACAAAGAAGTGTTTCCCGTGTTACTACTGCTTTCAAATGAATTGTATGATCGTGAATGAGGTATAGCCTTATTTGCATGCCTCCTGATATAACGACCATCGACGATTTCACCTCTTTGGGATGCCGCTTTTGATTCTTCATCATAATCCAACTTCTGATCTGACTTTTTATAAGATTCAGTATTTGCTGAAGGTATATTTTTACTTTTTGAATGCTTCCAACTTTGTCTTACCTCTGTAGATGAATTTCGAGATGTAGAAGGTGGATTATGAGTGGACAATTGCGTAAATTGTTCATTTTCGGCATAATTAGATTCACCGTTTGTAGAATTCGATATCCTTTTTCTATAATCAAATTTATGAAGTGGTTTTGAATGATATGCATTACTACTGGAACCATTGTTGTGTTCTTCCGATCTAAACTTAGCTTTACTAGAGTGATTTCCATGGGACAGGCGATTGGTCGCATCTTTTGGAATATATCGTTGATTTACATAAGATGGAAGATCATTATCGACTATGGCATCCTCGTTTATGCTAGAACTGTTTGAGCAGTCAGAAAAAGGTTGATGACTAGATTTATTTCTTAAAGCAGTTCTTTCTTTGCCTTCATATGTATTGGATGCAGCTGAACTATCAGTAGCGGCCAAGTCTGAGTTTTGATAGTATTTTTTCTCAGAGTTATAGTTTCTTGGATGACCCCTGTTATATCTCATCCCTCTTTGATTTCTGAAATATCTTGGATTGAAATCTGCTCTTGCTCCTCTTCCTTCACTTGATTTTGGCTCAGCCATAGCTAGAAAATTTTAGTTCATTAGCTATCATACCAAAATAGAAAAATGGAAAGAAAAAACTATCAGTTGACTTTGTTAGTTGTTTCCTTCATTTTTAAAGAAAAGCAAACAGTACAAAAGCTGTAAATTCATTTGCAGCTTATATATTGTTACTGTAAATCATTTCCAATATTTTTTAAAAAAATATTTGGCAAGATTGACATTTTGACTTCGTGTCATTGCAGTGCTATAATATCATTTTAGGGTTTCGTTATTTATTATTAAAATATCTTTGAATAAATAAAAATTATAGCATTATTATCAAATTATTGTAGGGAAATAAATAACTAATTTTATTGATTTATTTTTAAATTGCAAAAATAACACATTTTAATTTTTTTCTTAAGTAAATATAATTATAATTAGCATAAAAAAGAATTTTTTTGGAAAACATTAGTTCATTAATAACTGTTAAAATAATATTTTTATTTAACATATTTCTCTTTGTTCCACAAACTTAGCTACTAAACACCCTAATAACACAAACAAATTTGGCAATTTCTCACACTATATTGGCAGCCCCTATAACCAAGAAGCCTGATATTATCTTGATTCAATTTTTAAATTATATAAAACTACATATTTTGAAGCTAGAAAAAGAACAATTTTCTTACAAACTAAATATTCTTATGCATATACTTTTAAATAAAATAAAATACAGCTTACAATATTTTAAATGAAACTGTTGCCTGCAAAATCACTGATAAAACTTTGTTTTTTACTAACTCCTAAACTTTTTTGATCTATCAGTTTGACAAAGAACATTTTAGGAAGATTTCTGTTACTGTACTCACATCAAAAAAGTTGCAAAATTTGGAAGACTTCCAGGCAGTGGCATTCAAATAAAAAATAAATTATAGAAACACAGAAGGAAGACATTCAAAGAGTATAACTTATATACCCACCTCAGGTCATATCACAACATATTATTTGAAGAAATTTTATAAAAAATAAATGGCTTTTTTTTTTTTTGGTGCTTTGGCAATGATAGTTGGTAGGAACAGGTACTGATACAGAAATATTCCCAAAAATTTAAACAAATATGAAGCAGCTTGTGGGTAAAGAGACATTAGTAACAAATCATTTAACAGCAATAGTTGAAATGTAATTAGTATAAAATTTGCAAAGGATAATTCTAATATATTTTTCAAAAATATGCATGCAGAATTTTTATAAGAGTCAAAATAAACATCAAATTTTTGTTGAAAGAAATTTGTAGCAGCTTCAACATGGGAAGCACAATCAATTGTTAAAAAATAATCCTATGGCCTGGAAAAATTAAACATTGGAGACAAATTTTTATAGAACTAAAAATTTTTTAAGCTTTGCTTCATAAAAACATTTCACAAGTTTCTAAACATAACTCCTTTGAATTGGGTATATGTACTATATACTAATTTTATGGCGGACAATCCTAAAAAGGTTATGCATCCCTGAGATACTTCTTGACATATATAGGTAAGAGATATCATTTTTAAAAAGAATAATATTAGAATAAAAATGTAAATTAAAAAACATATCTTTGTATAGTTCATATGATGTTTTACATAAATATGAATAATAGAAAGTTACATAGGCTATGTTTTCTAATGTTTCCCTTTTGCAGTTAAGTAGCAAAAAATATTTTATTCTTAAATCAATGCAAATCATGATCACATTTGAATAGTGGTAATTTTATACTAAGAAGGAGGTATAACGTTTGGAAATTTAAACTTTTAAATTAACAACACCTTGAATAATATTTAAATCTCTGAAAAAAATTTGTTCGAAGCTAACTTAAAAAGTAAAGATTGGAATTTTTGAAATAATATTTAAAAAAGCAACAGGTTTACACTAAAAGTAAATGTAACTTTAAATAAGAATGTTCTTTGAAGGAAAAATCATTAAAAAAAATAATTTATGATTGATGCATCTATAATACTTAATTTATACTATAATAATAAATATTTTTGGAAAATATAAATAATTTAAGGCAATAAATCTGTGGACATTTATATTAGGATATGCCTACTTACTCGATGGTAGTTCTTGCCTTTGAGTGACACGCAAATAGTTCACAAGTTCTTTTACTACTAAAACACAACGTCAACCTATGATACCTATTTATGTAATATATATGATTTGTTTTGTTAACGTTGTGCAATATATTTTTTTCTACAGGCAAAAGGGGTATAACGTTGATAAGATAATTCCGTTTATAACCCTCTGATTCGATTACTCTTTTGATGATCACAATTTAGTTCATAAAGTACTGCAGTTTCATATTGATATAAAAAAAAATTTAAATTTTTATGGAACTTTAAGTTGAAAAAGTTCAACATTTAGACTGCTGTATGTTACAGTGACAGATAATAGGAAGTGCAAACATTTGCATAATAAAATTTCATATATAATAGAAATTTTTTCTCACTTGTTCAGAAATTTATTGATGATAAAAGTTTATCAAAATAACTATTTTATTTGAGTTAAAATAAAAATATTTTTATCGATATAAATTAATCGATCAAACTTGTTTCGATTCCGATAATACTTGTTTGTAAACAATCGAACTAGAAATTTGTTGAAGAGCTTGTGTAACTTTTTATTTTACAAATTTATTTATATTTTTATAAAATTACAGTGACTACTCATCTTCAACTATGAGTAAACATCAAGCTGCTGGAACTGCAGAAATTTTAAGATCTGCTCAAAAAGATGAAGAATCTTTACGTTATATGAGACATATAATCTCAGACATAACACAGAGATGCTTAGGTTTCTTAAATATTGCATTTAATTCTTTTGTTTATTGATTATATATTTTCGTTATAGATTTGTTCACTATTATCCATGCATATGTATAATGGTGAAAAGGTTCATATAGAGTTTTAGTAACAAAATTATCCTTTTGATATTTGTTCAATTTTTTAGAAAATTAAAACATACAACTATTTTAAAATATCCAAAGAATTAGTGATAATATAAAGTTCAGTGTCGAAAGTATTTAAATTGAAGAGTAAGCACTGTGAAAAAGGAAACGTTTGTATTACATGATAGGAGCTAAAAAAAAATGGGTTATTTAAGTTTTCTAAGATTAAGTCTTCATTCAATGATTTTAGAAAATTGTTGTCTGTTAGAGTAGTTATTCTAGTAATGTTTCATTAAAATCAAAACTCTTTCGAGTTTGTTTTTATCTTTTTCCCCCTTCCTTTGGCTGTGTACTCCTTCCCATGGTGACTAGAGCATATTGCTATAGAATCAAAGGTCCATGGTTTGATCTTAGTTGATGTCAAGAGCAATTAGTTTGCACACCTCCACATAGGTAACCATAGACAGTAAACATGCGACTTTCTCACACCTCAATTGATGGCAACACTATATTACATTGTCCATGGCAGGCCTGTCCTCAACGGGGAGTGAGAGGGGTGTGTCTCACCCACCCCGAGGTTTTTTTTTTTCAAGTCAAAATCCCGACTTTGCCGAAATTCTTTCTTTGTTCTCGGAAATTCTTTCTTTCTTTCTTGGATTTTTCATTGGTGATGAGATTTAAACGGATTTCAATGTTATCTGAGTTTCGTCCATTTCGAAATCCCAGACACGACTCGGCGAATCTTGTTATGAATTGTGTTTTTAAATTTAGTTTTTTTTTCTCCTCCAAGAGTAACCATTTATGATAATTCAAAGCAAGATGACGGATAAAACAAGCCAAAATCCCGACTTTGCCGAAATTCTTTTATTATCGGATATTTCATTGATGATGAGATTTAAACGGTTTTCAATGCTATCTGAGTTTCGTCCATTTCGGGATCCCAGACCCGACTCGGCAAATCTTGTTATGAATTGTGTTTTTAAATTTAGTTTTTTTTCTCCTCCCAGGGTAACAATTTATGATAATTCAAAGCAAGATGACCGATATTACAAGTCAAACTCTCGAAAACCATTTCTCTTTTATTATTGTTTCAACGACACATTCTTAAAATTTAAGAAAATTTCTTTGACCTTAATTTTTAGTTAGCTAATAGTGTATCATAAAATTCAGATATTAATTATCTGAATTATATTAACTTTTTATTAGAGGTTTAAGTAATTTTTTTAAAGGAAGTAATGAACTTACATGAGTCTTTTTTAAAGAGTTAATAAATTTTAAATGAAATAATCGTGCCGGTGATGCAACCTATTTTTTTTTCTTTTACCTTCAAAATATTGGGTTAAAATTGCAAATAAGAGTACCTTTATTATTCAAAATATCTTATTTAAATTGTTAAATTCTGTTTAAACAACACAAATTATTAAATAATTTATATTTTCAGTTAGTAAAAGCTATTTTTCTACTATGAAGAATTTTATTAACTCCAAAGGACTTTAAACATTAAAAAAAGAAATGAAAAAAAAAGCATTTAATTTGTTAACTACCCTTCAGTTCATAACTTTTAAAATTCTATGATGATTGGATTATTATTTGAGTTAAAAAATTTTTAACCTAATATAAATTGTTGTGGGACCAATTCATATCTTTAGAACAATTAATCATCTCAACAAAATTTGATATTCTCTATGGAAAATAGTAAACATATATGTGATCCTCAATTCACCTTTATAAAAATTTCTGTTTTGAAAATAAAATACTATATTTTGCTTTTAATATTCTTTTTCGAGAATCCTACGAATTTTGAAACATTAAATTGAGTTACACTGAATCGAATCGACACTTCAATCATTTCACACAATTTGTGGATGGTTGCCGAGTTCAAAGTATTAAATGTTGTAATTTTGGATTCATTATTTCAATAAAAATAGGGTGAAAACAGAGGAATTCTTCGATTCCGAGTATTCACGGAAAAGTGGCAATTATGTTTGATCAAGCCGTTACCGACACTTTGAAGAGGAGCAAAAAAAGGGTGGTGCTGCGACTCCGATCTTGTGAAACAGCAGACAAAACCCCGGATATTTCTGTCAACTTGAAAAATCGAGGGTGTTTTAAAAGTGGTTAGCTAGAAATGCCCTAAGCTATATTTTCTCCTGTTTTCTCTTACTCTTTCTAAGAATAAAGACAGTATCTTTATCCACGTCGTTAAGAAGGGGAAGGAAGGGGCTCAATGCACATGCAGCTGTGGTACCAATTACTTCACTGACCTGTCTTTAACTTTCTAGTACGGGTACTTAGCTACTCAAAGCGTATTTTATAAATCCATATTATTATTGAATGAAATAGAAAATCCGCTCATGAGCCAACGATCATCCAATCTACCGCAGCTTCTTAAGTTTTGAATGTAAGTGTAATTTTTTTTTTATGAATACATATAAAAAAAATTACAATTGATATGATTTATATTGTTGATTCGCATTGATATTATTTGCAGTCTTATTGTCTATGATAAAATGTGTTATTATTTTCCAATTAAATTATTTTCTCAATTATTGCTTAAAAATTTAGGTAAAAAAACTTTCTCAAAAAAGAATTTTTTTTTTAAATATATATATATATATATGGGTAAAAATTTATTTTCATAAAGCAGATTAAATTATTTTTTAATCTCTTTTGTGCAGTAAAATGATTAAAAGAAAGAAAAAAGAGCAATTAAGAATGTCATGTTATTTATATTCATTAGTAGGAGCTAGGGATAGAAGAAGATCACATTTAAATTCCGAAAATTGGAATTCTTTTTCCGTGTCCAAACTGCAATCCATTATGAACAAAAATGTACTAATCCTTATTTTATTGAAAATGTAAGGTGATTAAAAATAGAAAAGTTTCAATTTTTTTTGATAAATAATTCTTTTTAGCTATTTTGTTGTATTTCTTATGTATTTAATGTTTTTATATTATCTTTTTGACTAAAGTTAACAATTTTTCATTTGTTTAAGTTAATTATTAGTAAAAAAAGCTTAATAATTTTGTAATTATGTAAAAATTCAATTCACAGTTTTGTATTAAAAATGCAGAATAATCATTTTAGGATAAATGCTTTCATAAGTTTTTATAGTTAACTCTATTAGCGTTAGCTGCACCAATGACAGTTGCGACAAATGAAGGAATTTTCAGCAAGATGAAATTGATTAAAAACTATCTTCGAACAAGAATGACCACTGAACGCTTAAATTCACTGCTTTCACTCAAAGCAGAAAAGATATTGTTGACAATATTAAGCTTGATAAGTTGGCAGAATATTTTTCTCTTTTAAAACAACGTCAAAGTAAATTTATGTAGCTAATATAATATAACGTAATTTTACTAATATCTTAATTTTTTATCATTTTTATGTGAATTTCTTCATTTATAATTTAAATGGCAAATATTTTCAATGTTTTTCTACATTATTTTTCTTATTTTTTAACAAATGAAAGGACAATTTACTTTTGAATGAATTTTGTTTTGAATCAATATCTTATAGAAGACTGTATTTGTTGATAATTACTTACTTATCTTCAAACAGTTGCTCTAATTAGCTTATGGTAACAACGTTCAGATGAAACGAAAGATAAATTTTAATTACTGAGTGATTTTTCAAAAAATATTTAAATATAGAGTAAAAAGTAGCTTAAAGTTGCATTGAAAAACATTTAAATTTACAACTTTATTCTTTAAAATTATTTCCACAAATAATTACTGATTACTATTACTGAAAACTTATTTTAATTGAATAAGTTTCAGTTTATTTAAAAATAGTTTTTTTCTTTAATATTTTGTAACCATTTTAATAATTAAAATTAATAGAAATGTAAAAACTAAATTTTCTTTGTATTATTTTAAATAATTACTGGTCAATAATACCACATTTTTCACCTATGGAGTTGCATTTTTAAGTGCTGTAAAAATTATTTCAATGAATAGCATTATGTTTATAACTAGTCGAAATGATTTCAAAATAAACTTTGGAAGCTCAAGTTGTGTGGCGCATTTGAACTCTTTTATCTGTTTTGTTTTACCTTTGATTATCAAGCTTTAACCATATGCAAATTATGTGTGTATATATATATATATATATATATATGACGGTTGGCAAAATAAACTTCAACACCCCCCTCCCTCTCTCTCGAATCGGTTAGCGACGGGCCTGGTCCATGGTTAGTTAAAACATGACAAACAAATCACCTGGATCTATTATCAACATGATAAATCAAACTGCCCTTAATATGTGATTTTACTAAGGGCCAAGTGATTTCTGAAGTTCATAATAAGCTCATGGTCAACAACAAGTCACTTTTGCCATGGTTGCACAAACACTCTTTTCCATGGTGGGTTATATTATTAAAGGTTATAAACCCAAAAGTCCTTGGTTGAATCTTAACTAGTGCAAAAAAAGCTACAATTCCTTATTATTCAATAAGGTTTAAGCAGGAAATGTTTTAATTGTCAGAATTATAAAAAGATCTATAATTATTCTTTATTTGAAATTTTGAAGTATTTTATTATAATCTTTCATATGATATTTAAAGAATATATTAGTTTTCTCTTTGCATTTAGTTAAATTGCAAAGTGACTGAAATTTTCATATTTTTTAAAGGGTATTATTATATTACTATGGGCAGATTAATCCATACAGATATTTATAACTTTTCAATATAATATTTACTTGTTTTATAGAAATAATTGTATTAACTATTTTGTTTTAAAATCTCTGAAACTAAAATAATTCAAGACATGCTTCATTCAACTGTTAAAGAATAATTATTTATCATTTCTTAGAAGATTATGTTGTAAATTTACACAGAAGTTTCTCATCAATTATCATATATATAAACGACAGCTAGTTCTGGGTTTTATTTGAAATTAACAAATATTACATTTTTAAATTTATAAATGCACTTCTCATAATTGTTGTGGTAATGTTGTTATTGTGAAAATGTATAAAGCCAAATATAATTAGGTATAAAATTAATACAATAGAAATTATTAATTAGCTCAAAAAAGGGCTTTGAGAGAGATAGCAATAATCATAAAGTTTCTGGGGTTTTTTTCCACTGAGAAAAAAAAATAATGCATATCTTTTGCAGTATTTTATAAATTTTAACAATATATATTGGAAATGCATTTTAAATTTTTTTCACAACTCTTTTATAACTAATTACAACAAGTTTCTTCGTGATTATCTATTTATATTTTTCCATAGAGAAAAAATAATGCATATTTCTTGTGGTATTTTATATGTTTTAAAAGGTTTCCTTTTTATTTTCAGGTATTCCTTTTTGGATGAAATGGAAGGATCTTAGTAACACTTGCTCAGACTTTTTATTTTTTAGTTTAACTACTTTATCTGGTAAATATTTTTTTTTTAAATCATTGTTGTAAAATCAAAATATAACCCTTAATATAAATTATGAAATTCATACAAATATATTAAGAAAATCATTTACAATCTTAACTTAAAACTAAGGCCAGTGAAAACACTTAAAAAGAAACTAAAAAAATACAATAATATTTAAATTTCTTTTCTTTCAATATGAATTCTTAAAGTATGTTGTTAAGAAACAAAGCAACAAGCAGGGTTTGTAATTATGAGAAAAAAGGTGTATGGGTAAAAATACTATTGCAGTCTGACTTAAAACTTTGTGGCCACCAGTAATTTTTAATAATTTGTAAATGGTGTGAGTTCAATTGCATTTGTTTTCAGCAACATGAAATCAGGAGTTCACCAAAATGTAGTAGCAAGTCAACTTTTACCTAAAGCAGAATTTCTTGCTTGGCAAAACTGAATCAATCAGCAAGACAACAGACAACAATTTATTAAATTAACAGTACAAGAAATTGGTTTCAAACCAACAATGTTGAAACTTGAAAATGGCTAGGTAAGTTTCCAGATCTTCACTCAATAGATTCAAAATCTGCTACTGAAGATCAATGGTATGAAACAGACCCTGAACTTTGTCCAAAACTAGGTCCATCTATGAAAATTAAAATGTTTGAAGCAGGGTTGGCAAGATTTTGCCGCAGGTGGAAAAAACCATGGTAAATACCGGTAAAAACCGTCCTGGCAAAAACAGGTTTTTGCCAAGCAAATTGGCAAAAAGTGGCAAAAACCTATATTTTCCAAGATGAGAGGACAAAAACACATTTTTGGTACAAAATTATTCCTAAAATTGAAATATAAATAATTACAAAAAAATTAACAAAGTTATTATTCCATAATTAAATTATAATGTAATAATATATCATTTTAGTAGTTTAAAACATTATTGATTGGAAAATTTGCGATTATTCACTTTTTTCCAGTGAAATGAACTTATTTTAAATTAATATAACTATAATTTAAAGCATAAAATATCTATCAAGATGTGTAGTTAATTATTGTACAAATAATAATTTTTTATAATATAATAATAATAATATTATACAAATAATAATATTTATTTATTTGTAAAAAAGCATTTATTTAAAGATTCTAAAATGAAAAGAGGTCAAAAACTTTCAATGTTTTAAAAATTATTGCCTTTGTTAAACTGGTTAAATTGGTTAACTTCGAGTTAAACCAATTATTAATATGTTAAAAATAATTTTTTCATGTAATGTATCAAAATTATTATTCCTTATGATTGATTTAAATTTGTTTCAAGTATTTTGTAATAATATTTAATCAGCAATTTAGATAATTTGGTTTTTGCCGGTTTTTACCAGTTTTTGTCGGTTTTTACCAAGTCTTTTGCCACTGTCCTGGCAAAAAAAACCTTTTTACCGGCAAAAACTCCAACCCTGGTTTGAAGTAAATCAGAAAAATGGCTCTTACTCATCTTTCTAAATATTTTTTATTATTTTTTTTATGTTAGCTTTTAAGTTTTTACTCAGGTTGAAATACTTATTTTGCTAATACCATTTTTTTTCTGATAATTGCAAATGCAGTTTGTTGAGTTATTTCTTAACAATGTACTTTAAAAATTAATAATGTAATAACATTTAAATTCCTTTTAATTTTATTTTCATTTTCTTAAATTTTTTTCTCTGGCCTTAAAGTTTTTACTCAGATTGTAATATGAATTACTATCAATTAAAAAAATTTGACAGTTCATTTGCGAGTTTGTGAAGTAAAAGTCTGAGTTTAAATAATGTTTTTCAAAAAAAAAAAATTATTTACTATTTAGCATGGGGAGGAAGCACAGAGATGAGCTTTGGCTTACTTTTGGAAAGCTCTATGTTCCCAAGCTCATAGACAACTTTAACTGACATATTAGCTGTCATGCCACAATAGGCATTACATATTTCCTAGCCTTAAAAATTTCTTTAATTTCTTAAACTTATTTTTTTAATCATTCTTAACCGAATTATAATTAAATTAAACCAATTATTTAATTTTTATTACATTTTATAAAAAGCGAATGTAAAATATTTTATACTTTTCTTAACAATCAATGTAACAGCTAACTTTCTATTCCAATACAATACTTATGTAAGACTCATTATTTCACTGTCGTGACTAAATCGAAAACAAAAATCTATTTATATCTCTTTATTTCTTACCACAAAAATGTTTCAGTTACATTATTATACTAATTCTCACAGTCTTTTTGGTGATTCCCTTTTGCCAAATTATTTTCAAATATAATATTGATTCAAAATTAATTACTGGTTGGCTTCATTTTTGGCTATGTTATCTTTCGATAAATCGTCAACCATGGATCTCTTCCCATGCTCCTACCTGTCCGTTGGGAATAATTTATTTACTTTCAATTTCTAGTTATTAGCGATTGGATTGAGGGACCTTTAGGCTTCTCAGTTCCCAACCGTTGAATATCAATCTTAACAGAAATTCTCGATGTTAAGAGAATGATTTTCTTGATCCCTATATTAATTGTCTGCACACATTTTCACTGGTCTGTTTGCAAATTACTCTAGTAGAGTTTTTGTTAAAAAGAAATTTAATTTGAATGCGAATGAAATTGAATGAACAATTACAATAGAATGAATATGTAATGTTCACAACTATGATAAAATGTGCTATTTTGTGACAAAAACATAGATTGAAACTGGAAATATAAAACAACATTCTACCCTTTACATGAATTGCTAATCTGAGAGACTGCTGGTAATCATTTTATGGTGACACAACTCAAATTTTAGTGGTCCAAAGCTAACAGATATTTATTAATTTTAAGCCCTAACTTTGTATGATATCTTAAAATTATTTTATATATAAAGTACAAAGACTTCTTTTTACTCATAGACTAAAGCTGTTAGTTTATATAAATTTGAATGAGCCTAATATCAGTGAGATTTTCTTGGGCACATGTCATATAAAAATCAAAAAATTTTAAGAGAAAGGCCAAGTAAGATACATTTTTAGAGATTATTTACTTTTCAGATTATGATATATAATCCTTTTTAAGTTTTTATTTTTACTATTTTTTATACTTATTAATAAAACCAAATGTTCTTTTGTAATCTTTTTGTTTGTCTTTATAAATATCCGTGAGCATGCAAAAATACATTTTGAATATTTAAATTTTTCCAGGATTACAAACACTTGGAGAAGAATATTCAAATATCATACAAGTTGACAAATCTTTGACATCAATACCATCAAAATGGGTATGATACAATTTTTATTTAAAGTTTCATTTTTTAAATAATATATTTCAATGCAAATTTTGTTTTATTTTTATAATTCTACCACTAATTGTTTTGCATCTTATACAAATTGAAAACTATAGATTTTATATGCTGCAATTTTTTTTAATTAAATAAAGTAAAAGGGATAAGAATATTTTATTTAAAAATTGTAATTCCGTTTGCTTTTGCAATATAAGGTAATTCGTGTGATCTGATAAAAATCCTCTTTTACAATCCGCACAAAACATAGAATTGTTTTCCAGTGGGTCCCCTCACACTGTAAGCTACAGGGAAGCAAAAATGCAGATTTTCTTGCTAAAATGGGTATTGGTATCCTTCAAAAGAAAAAAAGACCATTGTCATTTCACTCTGCGAAATTACAGATTACGAGAATATTCAAACAATTGTTTCACGCTGCAGCCTAAATTTCCTTCAAGGAGAAGAACTTTAGCTTCCTCTGTAAAGAGATCCATGTTCTGGACTCACCTTGTGCTTCTGCGGTGGCGAAATTTAGACTTTTGATTGCCCATAACTGTCTTCAGGCCTATTTGCATTGTTTTAACATGGTTGACTCACCTCAGTGTAATTTATGTGATACTGAACAAAACATGACTGCATGACATGAATGTGCCACTTGATATGTACTGTGAAAAAGTATTGGAGAGTCCGTAGTCAAGTGGCATGATAGCCAATAGACTGGAATTTGTAAAATAAATAATAAATCTTATAAAAATCCTTTAAATATGAAATGACTGCATTTTATTTAAAATATTTTTACGAACAGCTTTATTAGTGATATTTTTTATTGTCAGAAATGTTCTTAGTACTCAGAATCATTTTTAATGAATTTTAAATTTCTTTTTTGGTAAATTTTTTTAAACAATTAAAAATTATATTTAGTTTTATAGTTCATTTTAGAAAATTAATTTATGGCCCTGAATATTTAAAAAAGAGACAATAAACTACCATATATCCTGGCATATAACTCAATTTTTCATACCGCCAAAATTTTTCGAAAAACTGGAATTAAACTTATACACCGGTAATAAAGTCGGACATTCGTTGATCATGAAATATAGATGCTTTATAAACAATAGCATAGATATTATAACTCTGAATCAATATACCTTAACAAATTACCCATTTGAAAAACTATTTTTAATATGTTATGTACAATTAATTTTACATTTTCTCACATTATATTTATTTTATGTAGAGGTCTTTTTAGAAACATTAATTTAAATGACATTCAGAAAAAATTAAGAATAAATAATGTTAATATTGTAAAGTTATATACAGTGTATAGTTATTCAAAGCATGATTATATTCAATGTAATTATTTAAATTATGTACAATAATTTAATTTATGTTTAGAAAAAATTTAGAATAATTAAAGTTACTCTAATTTATTCAAGATCATTTCAAAAAATATTACTCAATGAAAACTTTTAAAACGTACCATGAAACTACAAATTTAAAGATTCCAGAACATTATTTGTGTCACACTCATTAAAGTTAGCAGTGTTGTCATGCCGATCCCACTCTTCAGTGGTTTCTACTATATCCTCATTTACTGAGTCCCACAAAATATCGTCTTCAACCCTGTCCAAAGAATTTACAATTCTATGCTTTATGAAATATTTTACAATAACATTTCAATCCTATAGTATTATTTGACACATGATGTTTGTAGGAATAATAATAGACCTAGTTGATCAACTTATGCATAGAGACATACTATAATAAATTATTAAAGGTTTCTATATTGAAGTTTGATGAGAAATCATCTACAAAGATTATATAAGTGTAAAGCTAGTATATCCATAATTATTACTAACAACCATTGATTAAAATAAGCATTTTTTCAAATATTTATTATTTCATACTTGAGAAGTAAATTTAGGACACATTAGCTATTGTAAATTACAATATTATTTAGGCTCAATAATTCATTTCTATTTAATTTCGAAAAATGAATCTACATTTCAGTACAAGAGTAGAAATTATCAAATTTAAAAGAAAAATTGCAATACCGAAAATAATGTGTAATGTCACAATTATGATGAAATGTGCTCATTTGTGATCAAAATATAGACCTAAACATGAAACTGAAAATTAAAAAAAACTGCATACTAACCCTTCTCATTGGCTGTTGGTTTATATTTCAATAGCTGAATCGAATCTGAACTAATTTATGCAACAACATTGCAGAAAGCATCATTTTTAAGAAACATCATCAACAAATACTATTCTAAATGTAAAATTTTAAATTCAATAAAGCGTTTTCATATATAATTTAGTGGTTAAATGAATGCATTTCTTTTGTTAAAATTTAGATTTTTATCATGTAAAATTTAATTAATATTTTCTTAACAAAAATTATTGGTTAAAAAAGTACATTTTTCAGTTTTTTTTTCTGAATGAATTAAAATATCTTACTCTTATTTAGTTAATGCTTTAAAATTATTTTTGAAATTATATCATAACATGTAGCATTAGTTTTGTTAAAATATTTGTATTTACATTTTTATGTTCCCTTTCAATTGGTGAAAAATAAAATGTTTTACTTTTTCAGATTAGGTTGAAAGACATTATAATTAAAACATTTGGTCACTACTTCTTACTTAGATACCAAACCTATTTAGAGAATAAACTGGCAATCATTACTCCTTCACCCTCTGCAGATAATGATCCCATCATTGCTGCATTTATTGCTCACTTACCTACTATATTCAAGGCCATCGCTATTATGCAGCGGATTCACCTGATTGCCTTTTATTTTACTGGGTCCTACTATGACTTTTCCAAGAGACTGACTGGTATAAAATATGTATGTACATTTATGCTTTTTCTAGTTTTTACAATCTTGTGGTTATATACTTGAGGTTCTCAAACTTTAGATATTCACATTTTGGAAGTTAGAAAATCAACACAAAATATAAAATTTTAACTGACAACTTTTAATGTATTTAGAAAAATGAATGACAAAATTGAATTTGCGATGCCAGGTCGTTTCATCATTTGAGATTGCAGGACATCAAATTTAACTGCTTAAAAAAATTTATTTTTAGAATAATTTCCCATTGTGGGCAGCTAAGCAAATATGACGGGGGGGGGGATTAAAATAAAGCAACTATTGCATATCTACAATTTATTATTTTGACACTTATAATTGTTACAAACTTTTACATGGTTTTGTTACATTAAAATTTAATAGAATGCAATTGCCTTGGTTTGTTTAGTGAGATTGTATTTGGTTGACATTTGGGTAGTGTTGCCTGTGGTTATAATTTATATATTTATTTGAATAACGTACAAGAAACTCACACATAAAAGTCATACATTCTTTTTTTCTTTTTTTTTTTTTTTTGCAGTAAATCTTTCATTTGATTGATGATGTAAAAAAAATTGATATTTGATTTTTTCATACACACTGAGAGCAAAATAGATCATAATATTCAAATGTTCTTAAAATATTCTTAAAAAAGAAATATTTTATGTTTCATATAATATGTTTCATGTTTTTTTTATATAAATTTTAAACTTTTACGTTTTGTTCTTCCTTTTTGCAGAGAATCGAAAAAATATTTCGAGCATAGTTTGAGAATCTCTTCTCGAAATTCAAGTTCATATTTATTTTAAAAAAATATATTCAATATATTGTTATTGGAAAAATATATATTTGTGAAAATTTGCTTTTTTTAAGTATAATTTTATACAAATAATTTCTTAAATATAATTTTAATATTAAATAAATAATAGATTTTTGGTTGGATAGAAACTTATTGCAGGTTTCAAAAATCTTTACTGGTTAAAAACAAAGTCCCGACTCCTAGAACCGCTGTGACCTTTCCATGCTACCCTAGGGGTTCATAGAATATCATTTAGGAACCACTTCCTTAGACCAATGAATATAACTTCCACAATCCATCGAAGTTTTTTGACAGCTTTGTTGAAATAATTTTTAATTACTAGTTTTAAAGTTTTCATTAAATTCATGTTACGCTTGTAATAACAAAATATTGTTAAAGGTTTTTTGTAAACATAAAATCATATTTCCTTTTTTTCAAGCGGAATCTTATTATATTAAGGCTCACAAAAAACATGTTTGAATGCATAAGTAAAAATTGCATTGAGGAACATTGTACTACTTTTTGTAACTACTGCTATATTTTATAGTCATTACCAAAAGCTTTGTTGTAGACATTTTTTTAATAATAAAATTTTTTGTTGTGCATTATATTTTGCAAGAAATGTATTATATTATTCATAACTCTTTTACATATAAGGTTAGATTCTTAAAAAACAAAATTACACTGGTTCTTGCATATAAAGCAGAACTTGAAACTTAAGGTATAGACAGTAATAATATTATAAGAATATTTCTTTAGAAGTTTTAAACATTATAAAAACATATGAACAAAAAGTTCAAAATCCAATAATAAATTAAAATTATACTTAACATTTTGGCTCTACAGCCTGGATAAATTGAATAAAAAACAAATTAAATATATATGTTTTGTAACTATCTCAATGCATTAAAATTAGATTTTGTGCTATCATTGGACTTATTTGACTTTTGAAGAGAATTTATCAATAGAATTAGATAATGTGCTATTAAATTGATCTCTTTTTGTTTCATTTAAAGATAAAATTTTAATTATTTTTTATTAAAATTGTTATGATAGTTTCTTTCTTTTACCATAATATGTATTTGAAGATTTTTCAATTGTTTGTTTTCTTTATGTTAGGTTGTTATACGTCGTTGGCTGACTAATCCAGCTTATCAAACTTCTTATAAATTTTTAGCTTGGATAGCTGCTTCTCAACTTTGTCTCAGTTTAGTAATATCTGCATACTCTGCGAAAATTAAAAATACAGCTACTTGTAAAGACAAGGAAGAAAAACAGTATGCATATTTTGTTTATATAATTTGTTATTTGTACTTGTGATTGTGTTTACACCCTTATTTTTGTTAGCTTTTATTGTTGCAATTTTAAAGACCAGTTGTATTCGTTATTAGTATTAAAGTAATTGTAGATTATATGTTTATGTTTTGTATGTGGTAAGTTTTTTAAATATTGTGTAACTTAAACATTTTTGTTGTAAAATAGTTTTGTATGCAATAAAAAATGATTATGTATAAATAATAATATTTTAAAAATTCTTTTATTTTCAGTTTGAGAGGCAGTTATATTGAATAGGTTTATATAATCATAAAATTCATAGGAAACTGCAAATTGATTAGAAATAGTAGTAAAAAATACATTAATAGTAAATTTTTTAAAGTAAATTTTTGTATTTTAGATTAATTATTATTTGTATGATTCAAATATTATTATTATTTGGCTTATGTGATAAAGTTCAGCTGTAACAGAAATTTTTTGTGCCTCATTATAGAATTCATTCTGTCGTCCTAAGATTATTTTTAATTATATGTTACTGAAATCAAAAAAAGAAAAAAAATCAAACTGCAAATCATATGTAATCTAGCTTAAAATTAAATATGGATAGATAGGAAAAATATTTTATTGTATTAAATACTATAGCGTAGATTATTGATTAGCAAAAGTATGATTGAAATTAACGAAAGTAATACTTGATGATAAAATTGAAAATGACTAATAATATTTAAAATCAAAAACAGTAAAATTTATTAAAAAACTAAATGTGGTTTGGTGTTGTTAGGTACACCAGTTTGTAGTTAGGTAAGTGTGGTTAGGTGCACCTTCATTACTTCAGCAAATGGCGAAACACAGATGATATAATTTAACAGAGGTTATGTTACCTTAATTGAGATTACTATACATTTAAAGAATAAAAATTTTAACTTGACAGAAAAGTTGAAAATAGCAATTTGGAAAATATGGTGCATTAGTATGATCATTAATAATAAAACTTTTGTTTTTGATTACACCTAAATGATATAGAAACCCGTTTAGGATTTAACCATTTGTCATTTTAAGCATCGTTTATCGCCATTTTCAAAATAATAAAAATCTATAACTAAACTTTATTTCTTTTACTTATTATTATTTATTTTTTTTAGTTTATTAAATTTGCAGATATTTATTAGTACTCACAGAGAAGACATATTTTGCCTAATATAAGTTTTTGATAATTATAAATTATTTTCTTATTTATTAATTTTTAAAGTTTCAAGAAAAGAGTCAACTGTATTTTTTAATTTTAAAACTTTCAACCAATTCAAAAAATTTTATATATGAAAGTAAGAAATCACATTCACAAATACATCAACTTAAATCCATATTACAAAAAAGTTCTGCACCGATATTTCAAGCTATTTATAATATTTAGTTTATCATGTTGAGACTTATAAGAGTTTTCTTTTCATCTAGGTTTATTAAAAGTATTTATTAGATATTTTCTAATTATTTAGAAACCCAAGTGAAGTGATAAGTTTGAGAAACCAATGTTTTCTATGTTTTGACAAAAGGAGTTCTAGTACAGCTACCCCCTGTGGTCATCTATTCTGTTGGTCTTGCATAACATCTTGGATGCAGAACAAAGTAATTTATTTTTAATTGGTTATCTTGTGCTAGTATTTTTTTCTGTCTAAAATATCAATGAGAATATCTTTGAATGATAGTTATTTATATTTGGTTTATCGAAAATTTGTTACGATTTTAATGTGTTTACTGGTCATAAAATTATTTATACTTCTCTGTTCATAGATATATTTATTTTCAGTTTATTGGTTTAGTATTTATTTATTTTTTGTATAATTTAAATACAGGTTTAAAAAAGGGGGTGGGGAGGATGATTATGTGAATTGGAAAATAATTAAGGATAATAATAAAGATATGTTTGAATTTTGAAAAAAAATTCTATTTTGAATAAATTTAAATATTATAATGGCTTATGTTTAAAACATACCACTGTACTACTTTTTACTAACCAGAAAAAATTCTTGATTTTTATTGTTATCATTATAAATTATGATTTTGTATTCTCTTAAATTAGCTTCCAAATACACAGATTTGTTTTATTTAAAATTTAATATTAAATATTAAAAAATGTAATCAAAACAACCTGATTAGTTAGTTGGAAATTAAAAAGCCTGTTTAAAATTATTTCATTTTTATCATAACAACTTAGTTATAAAGATTAAATGTTATTTTTTAAGTTCTGATATAATTCTTGATATAATTTAGAGTACAAACTAATTTATTAAACGAGTTCTAAAATTAGTATCAAAAACATACTTTCCCCACTTAAGCAACTTTTTTCAACACCTTGAAATTCCTCAGTATCAAAATAAGGCTGGAGGAATTAGCACTTAAATTATTAAAATTTATTTTTCCGTATTTTTATTTTTGGATTAATAAATTTGATCATTGTAGACAAAAAGTGTTCAATTTGCCTAAAAATTTTTAGGGTAAAAGAAATATGCAAAAAAAGAAATTAATAGGCGAAAAATTTAAATAAAAATAAGCCCAAAATTTCATTTACTCTCCTGGGTAAGCTATTCTGACAATATCTTCCAGATTGCTGTTATTTCTACATTTTTATTGTCAAAAATTTAAGTTTGTTGAAAAAAAGATTTATCTGTTTGACGAAAGTATATTTTTGTGTCTTAAGACATAATTCATAGTTAGCGCTAATTTATTATTATATTTGTAGCAAAATCTTTGAACTTTTAAGAATAGCGCTTTGGTGCATGAAAAATTCAATCATTAGAGCATAAGTTATATTTTGGATGATAGATTTGATCATTAGAGCAAAAAAAAATAAAAAAATAGGATATTTTTTTAGGTCACTATATAGTAATAAGATACAGTAGTCATTATCTATCTAATAAAATAAATTGGAATCTTAATGTAACTCAGTTTTCACAATGCATTGCATTGGCATAAAATTCTGACAAATTGCTCACTTTATTTTTATTAATAATAATAATTTTTGTTATTTGTGCTTCTTAGTTTTTGTTTAATTGTGTGGAAAATATCATTCAATTTAAAAGTGTGTTCCTTTTTTGAATTGCATTTCTAAATGTTTGTTTTCCTTCTAATAATTTTTACATAACTTTTTATTTTAGGAAGAGTGTCCACTCTGTCGAGAAAGCTTCCCACCCTCAAAGCTTGTGCTGTTGCAGAATTATTATTAAATTATGATGTATGTGATATCATCTATATGATTTGTTCCTGTATTGTTTTTATTTATATATATTAATTTTATATTACTGTTAACATATATATGTATATTAGGTGCATTTTGTTTTAACATATACTTAATTTATACTTCTAGGACTAATATTTAGTTTTTATTATACTTGTCTTTTTCTCTCTAATTATTTTTTATTGTTATTTATTTTGTTTTTTGTTAATTTTTTTAAGAAAACCTTAACATTTTTGATAACCAATAAGATTTTGATTATATTTGGGTAAGAGTTGTTGCAGTTAAATACAAGTTTCAATTATTGTTTGTCAGATGCTTCCTTAAGATACTGAGTATATAAAAACTAGCTTAAGATACTGAGTATGTAAAACTGGCTAATTCTACTATTACAAGATAAACTTCATTACTCTTAAAAATTTAGCATTCTGTTTCTTTTTTAATAATGTATCAAGTTAGGTTACTATGATGTTTTAGTTAAATAAATTAATGTTACTTCAAATTGTATTTATTTTTTCTTTTCCCACTTTTTTTAAATCATAATTTAAAATTTTAGCATTCAATTTGAGCGATGTAATGACAGTTTAGGAAGTTACACATTTAATCCATTTCAATTATTATTTGTCCTTTTTCAATAAGCATTAGAGTAAAAAAACATGGATTCGGAAAATATTAATTCTGTGAAACCTGTATAAATTACTAATTTTGGTACATTGTTTTAGTGGTCAACTTATAGACTGGGATGAATCATTTTTTTATCACTTGTTTTAGTTTGTTATCCTTATAAGTATAGTGCCATGTTGTTCTTATATTTCTTATTCATTACAATATATATTGAAGATAAATGTAACTAAGTATTTTTAGCATAATATTAAAATTTTATTTAGGAAATACTCCATGTATCTTACGAGATGAGATTGTTTACAAAATGAATTACAATTTAATACATAAAGTAATATTAAACTGATTAGTTAGAAAAATGATATGCATATTTTTTTAGTTATTCCTACCAGTTATTTATGATAAATAATTTTTTTCTAATATCAATACTCTATATATACAATTAGAAAAATTAATAGGATAATTATTTTACTATTTTAAAATTTGTTTGTTACACTTGCAAACCTATTTGTTACAAAAGCTTTCATAAGTTTCACTTAAGGCCAACTCATAAAGAGGTTTAGCAGGGCCTGATCTAGGAATGTGGGGGCCCTAGGCACAGAATTGTCAGCGGTCCCCTGGTTGTAGCTTTAAACCAATTTTACTTGTTGTTTATTTATGAAGTGCCTTTAAATTATTTATTACAGGAGTAAAATGACAATATATTAGTACATTTGAGCTTTTATTTATTACTATTTTTATTAGCTTGTAATTAATTCTATTAGACAATTCTTTTGGAAGAACACAAAAAGAAATTATTTGAAACATTTAGGGAGCAGGGTGTGTAGCGTTTTTAAAAAGTGCTTAAAAGTGCTTTTTTCCATAGTTTTTAAATAGTGCTTAATTTTTCCCTTTTCCGAAATGTGATATTTTTCTTTACCATGTTGATTTTCGCCACAAATTATGCAAAAAGACATTGTATCCCAATCTATATTGTCCTATTCAACATTTTCACAATTAATTTGACCCCAATATATATTTCCGCCTACCGCCGGTCTGTAATGTATGAAAGCACCATTTGTTTTACATGTTTGATGAAATACTTGCAGGTCCTCACTTGCGTATACTAAACCGGATTCAGTGGTAAGGATTTTTGACTCTCATGTGCAACCCTGCAATTTGCAAAAGATTCTCAATTTCAGACTTCATTTTCCGCCCTCTGTAATAGAATCGAAAAATCTCTCGAATTTTTGCTGATTACGGGGATCAACTAAATATTGTCAATTTTTTTTCTCTATTAGTGATAAAAAATTTCATTTCTCTTGTTAATTTCATCGTTTGTGATGTGCCATCATCTTTGTCACTGTAAATAAAACCGGATAAAACCATCAATCGTCAAAAACTTGCCAACACTGTCTAATTATAATATTTTTCAAAGTGCTTAAAAATATTTTTTGAGTCCTTGAAAAGTGCTTAAAAGGTGCTTATTTTTTGTTGAAAAATTTGGCTATGCACCCTGGGGAGCCTCTCAAGTCTTGTGGTAAATCAGGCACTGAGGTTTGATTTAGCTTTTAATGCTGTGTCACTTATTTATTGAAAATTTGGTATGCATCATAACACTATAGAAAAAATTTTCAAATACCTTTTTTTACTTTTACCTTATAAAGACTTTACATTAGAATTCTATATTACTCCTAGAAAATTTTGACTTGTTTCAGTGGTAAGCATACAAGATAGACTGATGGCCAAGTTGCAAGAGTTATGCTCTTTTTTATTTTATAAGATAAATTCAGTCCTTATTATTCAGGGCTAATAGATGCTATCATGGCTTAAAAAATTTAAGGAAAATCTAAACTACTAAATATCAAGAAAAAAAATATATATTTATACGATTCTTATTAGACCTATAATAGTGTATGATAATGAATGCTGGCCATTAACAAAACAAATGAAGATGAACTTTTAAATTCTTCCAAAAATATTTAACCCAATATGAGAAAATGACCAATGGAGTATTCTGTATAATCAGGAACTGTATCAAAAATACAAACAACCTTATATTGCCAGAGTCATCTAAGCTTGCCATATGGAATAGCTTGAACATCGTTTTAGATGTGACAACTCTAAACCTATTAAAATGGTCATTTTTACAAATGTACAGGATACCAGAAAAAAAAAGACTTCTTACAAGGTGGATCGACTGTGTAGATACATACCTTACATTACAGGTCAATCGTTGGCAGACCATGAGTGCTTTGGAGGAAGCTTACTGAGTAGCCTTGGCCTTTAGTGGGCTGTAGTGCATTTAAATAAGAAGATAAAGAAATTCAGTTCTTCATAATATGGTCGCAAATTTGAGAGGTTTCACTATACACCTTCTTCCTTTATCTAAAATACAATAAGCTGATACTTTTTTTTTTAAGAGATTTGAAAAAAATCTGAAACAAATATTTTATTATAATTTAAAAATACAACACATTCATGTCTCTATTTAACAAAAAAGTATCAAAACCTAAGTGGTAATTTTTGTTTTTATAAAATGTAGACTCTAATCACTCTATAGGTATGCTAGACATAATCTGGGTGCTTAGTTACTAGCACAATTATTATTTAACTATATAAACAATATTTTAGAAAAAATTATGAATCAGAAAAATAACTAGTTCATATTAAATTTATTTTAAGGATATTTAAGTAACTAGGAGGCTTCGCCCCCTGCTCGCTGGCTCTCGCCAACCCCCAAAACTGCTTTCGCATTTCATTTCGGATTGCTTCGCAATCCAATGCTCGCCTTGCTCGCTCATTGGATACGTTCTTAACGTCTAGCTTTTGTATATTTTTTTGAATACTGAAGTTCCGAAAACTTTTCACTGTAGAAAATTCTAAACCTGTACATTTCAATATTAATTTGAAATTGCAAACAGTTTACATATTTTGCTTAATCACACTATTCTAAATTTCAGTTGTTGAGAAAAGTTTTGTTTTATTTTAAAGAGTTTTTTGAGTTTTGTTTTAAAGTCTTTCCCACCAGAGGACTAAAGCCATGTGTTGTAAAACAATATGAAATAGTAGTCTGCCACTGAACGCCGGATGTAAAGCATCGGTTTCGATGAAGATAATTTTGTATTTTTAATTCTCTGAAGGGCGCCACCCTAATAATATGGAATTTGTAAAATAAATGTATATATTTTTGATTGTTGATGAAGCCCATCATTTTGTGTTTTCATCAGTGTTCAGAAGCAGAACAACTATAAGTTTTTTATTTTATCACAAAAATATAAAATGTATAAAAAACAAAGAAAAGAGTAAGAAAATGAGTATAGTCATAGAAAAAGTTAAAATTATAATATAGTATTTGTCAGTTAAAATAAAACTTTTTGTTTAAGTCATTGCTAACAATTCAAATTTCTCCGAGGCAATTCTAAAGTATAAATTAAGGTAGTATTGTTAAGTTGAAACACAATATTTTTAGTTTTGATGTCAACAATACAATTCAATTTTTCACAAAAACGATTGTTTCCATTGTTAAGTTCAATGTCAACAATTCAAATTTTTCTGAGGCAACTCTTAACCTCTAAATATTATTTTTTTTATGTACACATTTCTAAATGTCAGTATTCAACCACAAAACAACTTAAAGTCCTCAAATTTAGCATGAAGTTGTAAAATGTAATGAAAGAGGGTCATAGCAATAATGAAAGTAGAAGTAAAGTTAGTACTGTAAAATTAAAACAATATTTTTAATCAATGAGCCAAGTTCTTCAAGAAGCAGTTGTAGAAGTAGGTTGTTTATTTAAAACTTTTTATAGAATTTCTTTAAGAACACAATTGTTAATTTGGGCATTTGGCGATACAACACTTTTAGAATTGAAGGATTTGTTACGTCAAGCGCTCAGGTATCATAATTTTGATCTAGTTGCGCTTCTATGTCATTTTGATTTATGTTGCTAAGTTAACTTTCAAAAAATTCTATGGCTGGCAACAGCATTTTTATTTTTTAAGTTGTTTATTTTTATTTCCTTTATAATTCTTTCTTTTTTTAGCAAAATGCTTTTTAACCTAACAGAATTCTCTGCCGACTGTTCTCTCTATAAATGAAGAAAATAAAGTAAATGCTATTGCAATAATGCTTCACAGCTCTTCTTAAATCCATCCTTAATTCTTAATCAGAAACACATCATTAAAAGGCTTTGGTGTTTTCAAAACGTAAACAAAACAAAGCAAACGTTGCCACCGGCGGAAAAGAAATACACCCAAAATTTGGGAGCCACGTAAGAGAATTATATATATTAGATATTCAAACAAAGACCCATTTTTTAAAGAAGATTAAACAGTTTATCATTGATCCATTTTATAATGAGGGTTTTCACAATTTGAAAGACGGGAAGTAAAGCATATTTTATTTATTTTTAATTGTAATAAAAAAAACTTAAGACAAGTCAAAAACTTTTGAATAATGTTTCATAAAATATTTTATTTAAAAATTTACAATATTTAGCCATTAAAAGCCTATTTATTTAGAACCCTTAGAAAAAGTTTTTCACAGTGAAATCAAAAATTCTCAAAAGATAGTATAAGTATCTTATTGAATATTTTGCATGATTTTTCTAGTTAGATTTCACTAAATGTTGAGCGACGATTTTTTAAAATTTCCATCTACATATAAGCAAATTGTTCCTACTTAATGACTCTTTTTTCTTCTTTCATCTAATCATAAAGTAAAACAAATGCTCCACAAAAGAATGTAAAAATAGCAAAATCAAGATGCTAAATGTTATCCTTATTGTAAATTACAAAAGAACATATCAATTACATTGTGCAAAATGAAGAATGGGATACCTTAGTAACTTTTATTGTAATGATTGGATTTTTACTGCTATGATACAATCTTAATGATTCAAGAGACTTAGGTTAAATATGCAAAATATTTGTGCCAACAATATTTTAAATTACAAAATCAGACGCAAAAGCTTACTTTCTCTGAATAAAAATGCCTTTCTTCCATGGAAAAGCCTTTAGAAAGGTCAATAGACGACAAGAGTCCATACGTTTTTTAAAGCAGAGATTGATATTTAGTAAAAAAGAGGGAAAGAGAGAGATAATGCTCAGCACAATTGATTTATAACTATAATTCTTTTAAAAAGTTAACTATTTATTTATTTTTACTTATTTCCGTTTGTTTGAAATGTTTAAAAAAAAATATTTTTTTCATTACCAAACGCAAAATAGTTATGAAAAAGGCTTATCAAAATTTTGTGCTTTGAATTGTCCAAGAAGCTGAACAAATTCAGTA